AGTAAGCCGTGATCATAATTGCTTTACTACAGTCAGGACAACAGAGCAAGACTCTGTCTGAAAAAAATAAAAATAAAAAACTGCATGGGTAAATTGAGCAGTAGAATCAGTGTAACTGAAGAGAGAACTCGTGAATTAAGAAAGCTAGGAAGAAATTATCCAGACTATAGTACAGAGTTAGAAAATATGACAAAGTTGTTAAGTTATGTGCAAGATAGTAAAGAAATTTAACATGTCTAATGGGAGTTTAAGAAGAGGGAGAATGGGGCACAGACAATATTTGAAGAGATGATGGTTGGGAATTTTTCGTAATTGGTGAAAGACACTAAAGCCAGGCACAGTGGCTCACACCTGTAATCCCAGCACTTTGGGAGGCTGAGGTAGGGCTCTCCATGTTGCCCAGGCTGGTCTCAAACTCCTGGCCTCAAGTAATCCACCTGCCTCAGCCTCCCAAAGTGCTGGGCTTACAGGTGTGAGCCACTGCAACCAGCAAAATTTCAGTTTTTGAAAATACTAATAAAGCAGGCAAGCTTTTGAAAAATGACGAAATACAGAAAAGGTACAAATTAACTGTTAAGAATAATAAATTAGGCATAAATGTGGATCAGTAGAGTTTTAAAGGTAATAGGAAGCCAGGTACAATGGCTCACACCTATAATCCCAGCACTTCGGGAAGCCAAGGTGAGAGGATTGCTTGAGGCCAGTTTGAGACCAGCCTGGGCAACATAGTGAGACCCCCATCTCTACAGAAAATGTATAAATTAGTTTGTCATGGTGACATGCACTTGTAGTCCCAGCTGCTCCCAGCTACTAGAAGGCTAAGGTGGGAAGACAGCTTGAACCTGGGAAGTGAGGCATCAGCGAGCTGTGATCACCAGCCTAGGCAGCAGAGCTAGACTCTGTCTCAAAGAAAAAATAATAATTTTAAAAATTAAGGTAATAAGATAAATTTATGACAGCTTTGTTAACAACTCAAAAACAAATTGCACAAATTTCAAGAAAACCCACAACTGTTTCTTCAAAGAAATGAGCCATGTGAGTGGTTTTAAGACTGCTCATTAAACAATGAATCAGTAAATTCGTTGCCCTATTCCCGCCCTGCCAAAATAAACTTAATAAAAATGGAAAAGATACTCTGAATTTCTGCCATGCTCAGATGGTTCCCCATGCAGGTATCAAACATTGGATAATTGCATTGTCAGTGTATCAGTGGAGATGCAAAAAAAATAATAAAAACAGGTAATTCCAAGCTTACGTAAACTCAGAGAACAGGAAAAGAGGGAATACTTCCCTCACTGGTTTTATGCAGCTAGTATGACCAGAGTACATACAAACATTGTGTATGTGAGTGTATATGTCATGACCATGTAGGTTCAGCCCAGGTTTAATTTTTCTTCTTTCCTTTTTGAGACAGAGTCTCACTTTGTTGCCTAGGCTAGAGTGCAGTGGCACGATTTTGGCTCACTGCAACCTTTGCCTCCCAGGTTCAAGCAATTCTCGTGCCTCAGCCTTCAAAGTAGCTGGCATTAGAGGCGTGCACCACCATGCCCGACTAATTTTTTGTATTTTTAGTACAGATGGGGTTTCGCCATGTTGGCCAGGCTGGTCTCAAATTCTTGTCCTCAAGGGATCTGCCCACCTCAGCCTCCCAAAGTGTTGGGATTACAGGCGTGAGCCGCTGCACCTGGCCTAATACTTTAAAATTTATTAATGTAGTTCAAATTCAGGAGAAAAACCCTCTTATCTCAAAAGATCAAAAAATTCAAATGTTTGTGATAAAAATTCTTGGCAACTAGGCACAGAAATGAATTTTCTTTTTTTTCTTTTTCAGACAGTTTTTTGCTCTTTTGCCCGGGCTGGAGTACAGTGGCACAATCTCGGCTGACTGCAACCTCCGCCCCGGGTTCAAGAGATTCTCCTGCCTCAGCCTTCGGAGTAGCTAGGATTACAGGCGTATGCCACCACTCCTGGCTAATTTTTGCATTTTAGTAGAAATGGGGTTTCTCCACATTGGCCAGGCAGGTCTCGCACTCCTGACCTCAGGTGATCCAGTCACCTCAGCCTCCCGAAGTGCTGGGATTACAGGTGTGAACCACTGCACATGGCCAAATTTTCTTAACCTGTTGACAGTATACTTTCTGTGAAATTTCAGAAATTCTTTTTAAAAATCTTGTTTGAGTCAACAGTGCTTACCCTCACCGCTTCTATTTTGCATTGTATTACATGACCAAGACACCACAATAAAGGCAAAGAAGTAAAAGTGAATTATTTGAGGGGAATAAGCTGATGAGTTATTTGTGGGTTTTATTCTATTTAGATAACCCCAAATCTGTATACAAATTAGTAGAATTAATAAAAGTTTAGCAGAATCCTAGTGTGTTAAGATCAAAATATAACGATTCCATTCTTAGCTGCCAAGAACAGAAAATATAATTTAATAAAATATAAAAATAAAGCAACTTTAAATAAGTCTATAAAAATTGAGTAAGAACTTTGAAAAAATGATCAAACTTTACCAAAAGACATTGAAAAAGTTAAACATAGAAGATATAATGAATGAGAAGACCAATGTTATAAAACTTTTCCCCTTAACCCAGACTTTCACATAATGCCAGTCAGCATTTCAACAGGTGTTATTATTGTGTCTGCACGTACATATGAAAGAGAGCAAAGGGCTTAGGAAAAGGTGCATTTACTTGTCCTGCCAATTAGCAGGATGTCCTTTAAAAAAAGCTCATCACAGGCCAGCTGCAGTGGCTTCCGCCCATAATCCCAAAGTTTAGGAGGCCAGGGCGGGTGGATCACTTGAGGTCAGGAATTGGAGACCAGCCTAGCCAACATGGTCAGATCCTGTCTCTACTAAAAATACAAAAATTAGCCAGGTGTGGTGGTGTGTGCCTGTGATCCCAGCTACTGGGGAGGCTGAGGCAGGAGAATCGCTTGATCCCAGGAGACAGAGGTTGCAGTAAGCCAAGATCACACACCACTGCACTCCAGCATGGGCAACAGAAAGAGACTCTGCCTCATATGTTAATTAATTAGTTAATAAAAAGCTAATCACAGTATTGTGATGTCGTGTAGGTATGAACACATTGACTAGAAGGCTGAGAAACCCAGACACACATAAGTGCTGCTTGATAGACAATGAAGGTGGCATTTTAATCAGTAAGAAAGCTGTTAAGTAAATTTATTTCAACATTAGTTATATGGAAAAAATAAAGTATATCCGCTCTTATCCATACGTACATAAGTGACTTTTCCAGCAAAATAGTATGCTTTAGAAAAATATAGACCTTGTGTTATAATTTTAAAACTTTCTAAATATGTAAAACAAAACCACATAGTTATTGGTTGTGAAAACATGTATTTAGAAAAAAAAAAAAACCAAGGGAATGCTGAACACTGCGTTTAGGATCATGTTACCAAATGCTGGGGGAAAGTAGAATACAAGAGGGTTAGCAAAGAGAGTTTGTATTTTTTAAGCTAAATAAGTATACATGTTCATTTAAAAAGTCTTTGTGACCTAAATATTTTATAATGAGTTTAAGAATTTAAATCCAGTTGGTTTTTTATGTTCACTTTGCCTTTGTGACTGCCTTGATTTAGCTCAGTGACTTCCTTAGGAAAATCAAAGGTCATCACTCATACCCTTGCCAGCCAGCCAGGCAGGCACAGGTATCTAGACCAGTAGTGTCACATTGGACAAATTGATTTATTTCCCTGTTTCTCGGTTTTCTCATCTGTAAAATGGGAGTAATTACTTTATGTGCTGTGAGGATTCTGAATTGACTCATATATAGTTGTTTGTTAATGGTATAGCTTTTCACTTCTGTATAGATTCTAGAGTTTGTGTATAAGTTTTTCCTTAAACTGTTATTAAAAGTCATTGATTCTTAACTACTTTTACTATTTTTTTAATGCCAGCTTTCTTTCATTGCTCTTTACCTTCCTTTCTTGAACCTTTTTCAAGCTTTAGGATTTGCTTTCTACGTTACTTCTCTGTAAGCTTTTTTGCTTGCGGGGGTGGAATTGATTTTGAACAACATAAAAAGCCAGTGGGAGTTCAAGTTGGTTGTGGTTTTCCCATTGAATTATGACTGGAGAGGCATTTTGTGCTCTCTGGAAACCAAAAAGGCCCATTTTTTTTTTTTTTTAAGTTTAATCGCTAATCATACTAGTCTGATCACTAATGATTTTGTGTTTCTGAATTCATTTTTAGTTTTATGTCTTCATGGTTCAATAATTGCTGTAATTGTTTCATAACTGCCTACAGCATTGAATTATCTTTGGGCCATCATTTCTCTTGGTACTCCTAATACTGATTCTTTTTAGCTGTATCTCTCTTTTTAGCTTTATCTTTTCTTTATCTTAGAAACTTACTGACGTACATGCTTAAAAATAGAAGTTTAATGCTACATATCAAAAACACGTTTATTCACTGGGGAGCTGTCGCTTCTATGATGACTGAGTTAAGGTAGACTTTTGTTTTGGGTTTTTTGTTTTTGTTTTTGTTTTTTGCATTACTCTTATTTTCTATAGTTTTTTTTTTTTTTTTTTTTTTTTTTTTTTTTTTTTTTTTTTTTTTTTACAGTGACAGCTAATATTTTCTGGTTTTGGAAATTTGCCAGATTCGTAGACCATAGAAAAGAAAATTTAATCTGGAAAAAATTATGGGAAATGTCCTCAAATGGATATCACTTCCTTGTCTGAAGAGATAACATACTAAGATAGTTGGAACCTAAACAACTGCAGGTCCATGGCTCCATCTCAGGAGTTCCTCCTGTGTCCGTAGAGCAGTTACGTGTGGATCATATGCACGTGTGTGTGCATTCTCGCACAGGGGGACGTGGCAGACCTCGTGTGGAGGATCTGCTCACACACGCTGTTGCTCCCCTGTAGTTGGCTGGTCAGTGCCTCTCTTCTGGGGTGTGGGTTCTTTTCTTGAGTAGGTGGCACTTACTGGAAATGTTGTGAAACACTCTTTTTGCTATGTCCTCCAGGTCGGATCCGCACAAGACGGCAAAGCTCTGGGAGTGCCACCAATGTCGCCTCTACACCTGATAACCGGGGCCGCAGTCGCGCTAAAGTGGTTTCACAGTCCCAGCGTAAGAAACATATTTTATGCTCTTGCTTACCTCAGTTTTATTCAACAGCTCATTCTGCAGTTGAACATTTTACAATCTTTATATTGACTTCAGAGGGAAAAACACATTTTTTGTGGCTCTAAGATACTGTGAGTATTCTTACCGTTTGTTGGGTAAGCTTAAAAAATGAAACATTCCAGGCATACATTTGTGTCCTGTCCAGGTGATTTACATTTTTGTGTTGTTAAGCATTAAACATTAAAATGTAGTTTTCCTCCCTCCTTTGAAGCCTGTCAAATTGTAACTTAACCTGTTCTGTGACTCATTTTTGCATTGATAAGGAATCCTTCTGATGTAATTTTAGAACAGTACCTGGGCAGAAAACTATTAATGCTATGTTCTTTCCAGTGGTAAATAAGTAAATCCATTAAAAGCTCTCCCCCTTTAATTCTGTGCTCTAACATTTGCAGCCCACACCTCTCTTCCTGCCATGTGGGCTCTTGCTTTGCCTAGCTGCTTCCATGATTGCGTCTCTGTATATGTGAAGTCAGTTGGTTTGTTAGCCTTAGCCATGAAAGCAGCCACAGCTGGAATGAATTTATTCTGGCCACTCTTCAGATCCTCCCTTGGTGTCTCACTTTCCAGCCACACATAAACTTTAAGGGGCCCGCTTCCCCTCTGTGCATGTCGAGTAGAGCTGGGTAGCAGAGTGCCCTTGGGCAAGGTGAGCATGGGAAGGAAGTCTTCCTGTCCCCAGGAGCTGCATGTGGTCCCACAGCATAGCACTCACTAGCTGACATTTGTCTGCCTCCTTTGTGACCCAAGGAACTGTCTGTCTGTTGTAGAGAGTGCTCAGTCTGCACCAAACTTTAAGAGCTCTCTTAGTATAGAGAATGGCCTTGCTTAACACCTTCTGAATTTAAATTCTTTCCCTTTGATAACTGCAGTCCTCATGTTATATAATTTCTGCAAAGAAAGCAGAAGATCACTTATAGTGCTGCCTTTGGTGAGGCTACAGAACCTTCCTGTGGCCTAGGTTGTATTGTGTAGTGTGATATACTACAAGCATGGGCTTCAGTGTCAGACAAAACTGGGTTTGCATCCTGGTTCCAGTGTGATGTTGGGTGAGTCTTTTAACCTTTTGTGAGCCATTGTTTCATTGTCTGTAAATTGAGTGATAACAATTCCCACCCTCATGGGGTTTTCCTGAGGATTTAATGAGCATTAGGAGCTTAGCATGTGATAGACAGTAAATGGACACAAGCTTTATAGTCATAATTGCTTCAGATACTCCCATCAAAGGAAGTTGAGCGTCCTTGATCCCTGTCTACTTCAGTAGGTTTAGGAAATTAGGCTAGGAATGGATTTACATGATGAGGGATGCAGTTGAAGGTAGCTTGAGTCCATTAAGACCAACAATGCTCTCCTTACTGTAGAACTTAAACTGGGTTTTCATTCAGATCCAGGGTGCAAGTGTAGTCCAGAAGTGTCTATCTTGGGAACAGCTTCTTGGCTCTGGTTATTTTGTTGAACCCTAGTGATGCCTGGAGACACAAAAGGTTATTTGACTCATACATATGGGTTAAATTTTACTGCAAAGGAATTGTTAACAAAAAGTGTTCAAATCTCAGAATCTAGGTCGATATAATGAAATTAAACCAAATAAAAAATGTCTAAGCGTGTAACTATGCAGTGTTACTTCCCTCTGTGGAGGCTGAGGGCTGAACAGTATTTTACCTGTTTCATTCTAATGCTGTTGATCAGCATTGGGGTCTTTGGGGTTCCCTGCCCCAGCTAGGTCAATGCTGTAGTTTTCTCTCTTATATTGTAGGTTTTAGGAATGTGTAGATTACCTTGGCAGGTGGTGAAGATTACACTTCCTTCTCTAATAGTGGTTAGGGTGATAATACAGCTTTAATTTTTCAGTCTTATAAAAATACTGTACCTAGCCTTGGGGCTCCCCTTTTAAAACTCCTTAGTTTTACTTCACTCACCAAATTATACTCAGGAAGAGTGACCACACTAGCCAGTGATCAAGCCTATACTTTCAACTTATGCATGTAAATTAAAAGTTTAAACAATTATTTTAATAAGTGGTAAATATAAGCATATATATCACAAATGTAGATATACTAGTATTCATAGTCCTGATTTAATACTAAGTAGGCTTCATTAATATTAGATTTAGGGCCCTTAATAATTGGCATATTTTAAATATTTGATGTTTAGGGGAAGTCAGGACAGGTAAAACTAGTTAACAGCAGTTTCAGTTAGTTGATGTTTATTGAGCACTTACTATGTGGTAAGCACTTTTGAAGATGGTAGTGATACACAGATGAGTACGTTACAATCACTTCCCTCAGGTTGCTTAAAGCTAGAAAGCAGATATGAGCCTCGCACATTGTAGATTTAAAAGTGTTTTATGAACAGATCTGAAATAAATGCTAATGTAGAATGACAAAGATAAACATAAGTACAAAAATAGGAGGAACAAGTCCTAGGAAATATAGCTGTTTTGCTAATGTATTTGTGAACAAAGACCTTTGTGTTGTGTTGCATGCTGACCTTCTGTATTGTGTTATTGTCTTTTAATCCACTTTTTGCCTGTCCTTTGGTCTGCTCTCATAATCAAGGATCCAGATCTGCTAATCCTGCTGGTGGTAAGCCATTTCTCTTCTTGCCTTTTTGTTGTTGTTGTTGGCATTCTCCCCGACCCCATGCTCCCTGCACAATATTAATTCCTCTCTTTATTGTAAGCTTAGTTAATCTTTCTGCATTTTTCTTTGTGTTCAAATTCTAGAGTTTGAAATGGATTTCTTTCCCCTTTATACATAGTTTAATAGTTTATTAGTATGCTCAAATTTTATGGGTAAAATTAGTAGGTCCTGAGACAAATTCTTCATTGGTTTTTATAATGATTTTTCACTTCAATTTGTAGTTAAATCATTATAAACTATTAATTTTTGTGAGTATTCACCTAAGTGTTTCATTTGAATGATAGTGGTTTTGATTTATATAATACTTATTTTTAAATAATATATATTTAAAATAAACACACATATAAATTTACAGGTAAGTGTTGCTTCAAATGTTTTCTTCCTCTGGGTCATTCTATTCTAGTACATAAAAAATGTATCCTTTATATTTTAGAATTGTATTGCCTTCTCTACTTAGGGAGGTAATCTATCAATGCAAATGATTGCCATTTGAGTGTATTGGTGTGATGCTTAAAATTTTGTTGTTTTCTCTGAGAGAGAATTATGTCCCACAAGAAATAGTAATATATGTATCTAGCTACTTATCTATTAATAAAAATTATCAGCCATATTATTTGTTTTCAATTTCCAGTTTTATTGCATACTTCTCAGAGATTGTGGTCCATGTTATTTCTACTTTTGTAGACTCTTTTTTTGAGATTTACTTTGAGGCTTAATACACGATTTTTGTTTTTAATATTCATGTGCGGAAAGGTAAAAAGAATGTGTGTTCTGTTTGTTGGGATATATATGTGTATGTGGGAAGTGTGTGTTTGTATACATACATGTACACATACAGACACAATTTTGACTGCTCTGTCAATTTCTGTGAGGTATATAGTTTTTCAGTAGTATTAGTCTTTCCATGAGGTCTTTCGGTAGGTGTGACTTTTTCCATTTCTCCCTGTACTTTTATCATTTTTTAGTTTTATATTTCAAAGCTGTGTTGTTTGCAGCATAAAGGTTCGTGATTATTGTATCTTCATGGACAATTATTCTTTTATAAATATTAAATATCCTTCTTTGTCTTTTTTAAATGTTGTGTTTTATTCTATTTGTTTTTGTTTGTGGTGTATTGTTTGACTCTTAAAAATACCAGACAGCTGAATTTCATTTTATTTTACTTTGCATTTTCTTTTCTTTTCTTTTTCTTTTTTCTTTTCTTTTCTTTTCTTTTTTTTTTTTTTTTTAAAAGAGACAGGGTCTTGCTCTGTTGCCCGGTCTGAAGTGCAGTGGTGTGCTCATGGCTCACTTCAGCCTTGACCTCCTGGGCTCAAGTGATCCTCCCACCTCAGTCTCCTGAGTAGCTGGGACTAGAGGCATGTGCCACCATGCCTGGCAAATTTTTAAAAATTTTTGGCAAAATGGGGTCTCCCTGTTGTTGCCCACACTGGTCTCAAACTCCTGGGCTCAAGTGATCCTCCCACCTTGGCCTCCCAAAGTGCTGGGACGACGGACATGAGTCACCAGCCCAGGCTTGTTTTAAGCTCTTTTAAATAGATGAATTAGTCCTGCCACATTTGTTGTGATTAACTAATATGTTTGAACTTCTACCTTATTTTGTGATTTTTATTTACCAGGTTTCTGGTTATTTTATCCCCGTACTCCCTTTTAGATCATTTGGCAGATTAATAGAATTTTCTTGGATCTATTTTCTGTAGCTAATGCTTAAGAAAATTGTTACAGTTCTACTTCTGCTCTTCTAGCAGTGACACCTAAAATTTTTAACATAATCAGCTCTTACAGAATAAAAAAACCAGAACAAGAATAAACACGTTTGTGGTATTTGTAGATATTTACTGTAGAATAAGGAGGCTATTCTACCAGTAATTCTTCTAAGTATATTCTTTTATGATATTCAGTTGTCTTTTATGCTCCTACATTTTAAAAAATTACCACCAAATAAAAATTTATTTTTATATAAAATTCTGTATTTTAGCCAAATTAATGTGTAAAACCTGGCTTTTGAAAGTATTATAGTTCATTCCTACATTTACATCTATTATTCATTGTCATTTTGCTTCACTTTTAGCTGGCAGCCGGTCAAGTTCCCCAGGAAAATTGTTGGGAAGTGGTTATGGTGGACTTGCTGGGGGCTCCTCACGAGGCCCACCTGTGACACCATCCTCAGAAAAGCGAAGCAAGATTCCCAGGAGCCAGGGATGTAGCCGGGAAACAAGTCCAAACCGAATAGGATTAGGTAAGGATTCTCAAAGATCTTGGAATACCATTCCCAGCTTGGTCATAGTTTTTATTATAAGCTAATGACTATGTCTAATGTAGGAAATATAGATCTATTTTTTGAACTGTGGATGTCACTTTGCCTGGGTGTGCTTTATACAGATTTTGGCATATTGAGGTTTCAGTTAGAAAAATATGTGGGACTTAACCATTCAAATTGATGGGAAGGAATTATGTCATTATAGGCTTTTGTATTTTGCAGTCATTGTACAAAGCATTGGAATTGGGGAAATAGGGTGTTTCCCCCACAACTAGAAGCAGTGTTGCTTTTCATTTTCCTTTTACTGATTGGCACTAAGTAGACATTAACCTATATGAATTTTTCAAAAACAACATTTAGGGTCCACATTTATTTTAATTCTGATCTTCTCTAATTGGTGAAACTTATGGTTAAAAAATATGTATAGTTACTTTTGACATAGATTTGTTTAAGTATGCAAGCTAGGAATTGATTAAAACCAATATATAATATTTATTTTTGTGTTACTTAGCTTCTTTGTAATAGTGTGTAGAATCATGTGAATTACTCTCAGTAGCTTAAATACCTTTTACTCCGTTAAAATCTAATTCATATACTACCTTTTTTAATATAAAATTTAGAAGTCTTTGTGATATAATACAAAAAATCTAAATTAATACTCTATGACTTCTTTACTTCCTAAGGGTAAAATGTATTAATATAAAATCAGACTACTGTATTCTTACATTGTGTTGGCTTATCTTTCTCATTTATTCATTTATCTCATCAACAGTGTTTACTGTGATGTACCAGGCACTTTGTTAGACCTGAGAATTAGAAGATACATGACATAGATTTAGATTCTGACTTCAAAAAGCTTGATATCTGTTGGGGAGAGGTGGAAATGTAAGACAGTAAGACACATACTATGACGGGGTGCTCCCCATAATCAAAATTATGACCTAAAAAAGGAGTATGTTAGACCCTTGGCCACCCCAGATTTCCTGCTAGGGGAGGCTGCCCAGTGTAGGTTCTGGTTTCATGAAGTACAAGATGGGATTGGTCCAGGTGGGGAGATGAGGGAAAGGTTTCCAGAGGAGAGAGAAGCATCTGCAGAAGCGGTCAGGCAAGAGGCAGCCATACGTCATTCATTTGGCTACTGTACCGGAAGTCAGAGTGGGTGGGAGTTGGGGGCAGAGACTGGTAGAGTCCAGCTCATGAAAGTCTTTGAAGGCCACCTTAGCTACGAGAAGGCAGGAGAAGGTATTTAAGAATGGATAAGGTTTGATTTGAAATCCTATTTCCAAAGCAAGTAGAAAGTATTTCGTGGTTTTAGTAATTCTCTATGATGCCAGCTTTTTACTGGCATTGAGTAGTGTGGTCTCTTAGCTGACAAGTTATTTGGTTGTTGGTGTGGATACAACAATAGAAAAGGGCACAGCTGGAATATCTGAATTTTATGTCTGATGCTGTAACATATTTGTGTTTGGAAAATGCATTTGATTTTAAATCTAGGTGTTATGTTTTAGCTGTCTTCTTCCATTGTTAATTGTTTAAGTTTATAGGATGTCTGTCTGCAATCCATGTTAGTTTTATACCTTTAAAGATTCTTTTCTGTTTTGAGAATTTTTTCTTTTTATATTATTGAAGATGCCAATTTAATCTTCTTCTGAAAACTGGGAGATAACCCAACTTCATTTATCTAACGTAATTCTAATGTGTTCCATGATTTTAACTAAGAGGTTTGTGTTGTGTGTAGTTGAAGATACAATATTTTATACGTTTTTAAAACAGGTATTATGGAGCATCAGTAGGAACTTAAGAGAAGCCTGTTCCCTTCCAAAGAATTACTTGAAACTTTATTTGAAGAAAGTTACTTCCTTGATGCTAAAGGGATCAGTTATGTGTGGAGCTTTGAGGTCATATTAAGAAAGATATTTTCTTTAAATTTCCACACATTGTGAGAATATATGCATATAAAGAAATATATATGAATAAAATGTATTTTCATTTTTTTCCTGTGGTATGGCTTAGAAATTCCATTTAATAGGGTGGCAGACATAATAGCATTATTCAGTAATAGATTATATATTACTATTTAGTAATATATATCATTAGTACATACTGGATATATGCCTATGTTTCTTAACATTTGACTCATTGTATAGCAATTTTCAATACAATTGTTGAATAAAAGAGGAGGAACATCTTTTAGGAATATTTTCTATAATTCCCAAACCAACGAATTCAACAGTTTTAATGATAGCTAAACTAGGTTTGGAATTTGCACTGAGAATTAATTGTAGTTATCTACAAATTGTGTTTGGTTCACCTATGCCTCTTTTTGTTTGAAATGATACTTCTTAACAAAATTTTCTTTTTTCATTTGTTTTAAAACTAATGCCAAGATCTTCTTTGGCATTTAAATTTTCTTAAGCAAAACAGCCTGCAATTCCTGTTGAATATTCAAGAAGCAAAATATATCCCTGCTACTCTCTTTTTTCTTGGTGATTTGTTCCCTCGTAAGCTGTCCGAGTAGGAAAATATATTTTTAAGTTGTTTTATTTCTGTATGTCCTAAAGATAATACTTTATAGATACAATAATGTCACGTAAATCACCAGTATCTGTAGTGATTATATTTTGGAAGTTTGCCCTTGTTCTCTTCTCCCACTCATCTATGGAAAGGCTATGAAAACACATTTGATATTTTTGCAGCTTTCATTCTGTGGATGTGTATTTAAAATGTTCTTAAAGTTTTCTGGTTAAAATACTTTGAAATAATTAAACATTAATAATAGTTCATTTCAACTGCAAAATGAGACTACTGTCTTAAGACCAAGACATGAAAATGTCTAGACCAGAGAGACATTTCATGTCTTTAACTTCTGGTGGTTTTTATTAATTCTCTTATATTCTGCTTTCCTGAGTCTTGGTTGGACCCTTCCTTAAGATGTAAAAGTCAAGATTACCATTAAAACACTGAAGTAGGGTAGAGTGTCTATCAAGAAATGTAAACCAATCAAATGGGTATCTTATGGATCTTATGGCTTCCCAGCGTTTCGTGTAAGCAGAAGACCCCAGAGATACCTAGGAATACTGCTTTTTTAGGAAGTTCACAGTACAAGTATGTTTTCCTTGTCTCTCCCTCTTATGCCTTCTCCTCTGTAACATATTTTCACATAGAACATTTAGTTTGGCACTTAAAGAGACAAATTATTTTAGTGTTTTTTTTTCTTTTGGTTTTGATCACCTAATTAATTCATTTATAAAAAATCATGTATATACTTATTTTAGGCCGGGTGCAGTGACTCACGCCTGTAATTCCAGCACTTTGGGAGGCTGAGATGGGTGAATCCCTTGAGGTCAGGAGTTGAGACCAATCTGACCACCATAGCAAAACCCCATCTCTACTAAAAATAGAAAAATTAGCTGGGTATGGTGGTGCGTGCCTGTAATCCCAGCTACTTAGGAGGCTGAGACAGGAGAATCACTTAAACCTGGATGGCAGAGGTTGCAGTGAGCCAAGATTGTGCCACCAAATCCCAGCCTGGTCAACAGAAGGAGACTCTGTCTCAAAAATAAAATATAGGCTGGGCTCAAAAATAAAAAGGCCGGGCGCAGTGGCTCACACCTGTAATCCTAACACTTCGGGAGGCTGAAGCGGGTGGATTGCCTGAGTTCAGGAGTTTGAGACCAGCCTGGGCAACATGGTGAAACCCCGTCTCTACTAAACTACAAAAAATTAACTGGGCGTGGTGGCGTGCACCTGTAATCCCAGCTACTCGGTAGGCTGAGACAAGAGAATCACTTGAACCTGGGGGGCGGAGGTTGCAGTGAGTCGAGATCATGCCATTGCAGTCTAGCTCAGGTGGCAGAGCGAGACTCCATCTCAAAAAAAGAAAGAAAGAAAGTAAGAAATGAAATAAATAAATATACTTATTTTAAATTCTTCTTTTATATTAGTCTTTCAAAGTAGTAGTATAAGTGAGTTTGTATTTCTCTTGTATTTTAAATTATTTAACATTTGAACCATTGATGTCACCACTAGATTAACTTTGAAGAGTAAATGATGCCAGAGCTCTTGAAGTTTAGGGTAACTATGGCCATATTTTCATAAAATCATAAACAGACAGAGTTATTTTTGTTTATATTGCTACTAACCATATGTTAAAGGAGAAAATCAGCTCAAATGGGTGAATAAACTGTCTCTGGGTGAAATATGGGGGATGGGGGGTAAACTTTTAAAGAAATTTATGCATACTGTTATTTCAGAGTATATCTCTTTACTACTGTTAATGCTTTTTATTGTCTTTACAAAACAGACTCAGACCAAAAAGAGAGCGTTTTTTCCCCGTTTTTCTAGCATGTATATGAATTTAAGGAACGAGATGGGGCTGGGAAAAATTCAGAAATAATCAGGCAAGAACTATTAAGAAAATGCTCAACTAAGCATGAACTTGTTTAAACAACTATCAAGACTTTTTATAGCTTTTTTATCATTTGTTTTGGAGTGGGCAGTGGAATATGACAAAATTTTCGCGTGTGCTCTTCAGCAAGAGACTTGGAAATACTTATGTATGTGCATTATCTCACAGTACCCTTCTCATTTAAAATGAGGAGACGTGTTCTTTTTCCTCGTTTTCCTAATGGGAGGCTTGAGACCCAAAGAGGCCAAGTGGCTGGACCAGTGAGATGGCGTGGAACTGGAATGGTCATTTTTTGACTCAGATTTGGCACTGGTTCTCTAAGGATGAGTGGTATTGCTGTGTACATTCTAGGAAAGTTTTCCATATTGGTAGAGCCAGTACATGCTCCCTAGTTTTTTAAGCATTTAATTTGACATCTCCTTTTGTCATCATTGTAGGAGCTGTTTAGAATGTCATCAAGAATTGCTGATTAAATAGTCACTACTACTTTGAGTAAAAATTCAGTGCTTTCACATCACTCTGGCAAAATTAAGGAGAGCTTAAGAATTTCTGGTGAACCCCCAAATAAAGCCCTTTATGTCTACATTGTTGAGATTATGTTCCTGTGCTTGACTTCTTTTTTTTTTTTTCCTGACCAGTACTAAGCATTTGGATTTCACTTACATGCCTTCAGAGTCTAGTTCCACTCTAGCACTGAGCAGCTGAGCACAATAGAAAGCTGGCTTTGGTTTTTCCTTTCATATTCTTTTTTTTAAATCAGGGAGTGTTATGATTCTGGTTTATAAGACATTCTTGTTATACTTTGGCTGTATAACAAATCTTTGCTCTTAAATAACAGAAGTGTTCGTTGCAGTATAGAAACATACTTGTTTTTAGATCAGTGATGCAAGTATTTTCTAAAATCTCTTGACATTTTTTCCAGTCCATCCTCTCAAGATGGAAGCGTATATTGTCCCCATCAGCTATTACATTTGGCAGTCCACGTACGTGTATTCAATATCTGAGGTGGTTTTGGAGTATTTTGCCAGTAATGTATCTCCATTTTCTCAGATGGAGAAACAAGGGTATTTTCTGAGCTTCACAGCCCGGTTTTTATGAGACCCTGGGCTATCCATGCAATTCTGTCTTGTAGTCTTGGTGTTTTATAACATGAGGATGATTAACTGTATCCGTAGATAATCAGAAAGTTATTTGCTGTTCTCAGGTCAGTGGAGGGATCTTTCCCCCAAGTACTGAGAGTATTGATCTACTTGCTGTAGACGCAGTGTGGAAGACTGGGTCAGTGGCGGTGCTTGGTAGAGCACAGGCAGATCTTTTTGGATTCTCATAGAAAAAGCAGGGATAAAATGTTGGGATCAGTAAAGGAAAGGATAACAGTCCCCACTTTTTCTACCTGCTGGTTTCGAGAATTGGATATGTGCGAAGCATCTGCACGCTTACTTGGAGTGGGTAGGCTGTCTGGTTATGTCAACCCTTATGGCTTCTCTTGGTGAAGATGGCCAGCCTGGGAGCAGTGAGCCCTCTTCCTTTTCATTAGGTAAGTTCATGGACTTCAGTGACCGACATGGTTATTCTGTTTGTTAATCCAAATTAAATTACCTTTCTAAGAAACAAGTGCGTATGAATACAACTTTGGTTTTTTGTCCTCTTGTTGAGAAGTTTGCTAAACTCATAAAAACTAATTGTTTCTAAAAGGCGTTTGATCTTGTATTTTCTGATGCCAGTTTGTTGTTCGGAAAGATTTCTTTTCACTTCTTACATTTAGGTGTAATTTCACCTTCATACTGAAATTCACAGCTTTCTGAGGCATTGAGCATAATCACATTTTACCCAAACCCTCCCCTGTTGGCATGTCAGTCAGTGAGACCTCAGCATGGATAGGTGGCTCAGTCATCAGAACTCCCCAGCGTGAATGATGTTGTAATTACATTAACCAAATGTGACTGACATTTTGTGAGTTTTTCTGTCTTCATTAAACTTGTTCACCTTCTCTGAAACCCTTCATGCTGCACGCTAGCACGGAGCAGCCGTATCCCTCGACCCAGCATGAGTCAGGGGTGCAGCCGCGATACCAGCCGTGAGAGCAGCCGAGATACAAGCCCTGCTCGGGGCTTTCCTCCACTTGGTGAGTACACGTAGGCGCTGGCTGAGGAGCAAAGAGTTCCTTACCCTGCTTGTCCAAGACACTGCTAGGTGGAATGACCTGCTTTTCCTCCTCTACTGTCCTTGTGATCCTTTCTTCTTTCTTTCCTCTTCCTTAGTTACCCCGTTGTCCCCCTCTGCATGCTTGAATTCTGGCAACTTCGAATTTTTATATATTAGAGGAAAAAAACACCACTTCACTCTGTACTGTTGTCATTGATGACCACTTGCTCTCAGCAAGCCCATCTGTGTTGTCATTTCTAACCGAAGGCAAATCTCAGCTGAAGTTCGTTGCTGCTTAAAAATAAAGTTAATCCAAAGTTTATTCTGAGTCATTGACTTTTTACAGTTTATCTTTAATTCTACTACAGATCAGTCTGTGTGTAATTTAATTCAAAGAAGGAACTAAAGTACAATTGCAATAATGTTTAGAAAAGTAAATGAGTTTTCTTTTTAGTGTTAATAGTCCTGCCTTCTAAAATGGACACATAATAAACCCTTTTTAGTTAGTATAAACTGTTGATCCCCAAAAGACATCTGTCAGCACATACTTTTGTGAAAAGGAATATTTTGTATTCTTCAATAATTATTTTTGGCTGCTTGCCATGTTAAGTGCTGTACAGATGTCCCTTTTCCTCTTGATAAGCATAAACGTAGAAATCATTTTGTAATCATTAGACCTAGACCTGAAATTATATGGATCGTTGGACTCCAGCAGTCTGTTAATTTTAACTATGTATTTATATAACTGGTCTTCTGAAAACTATACATGTCACTACGAAAGAGGGATGTTAAAAGCATAAGGTCTTAATATTTGCCTCTACCTAGCTCGTTCTAAAAATGTTATTCACTTCTTCTGATCTTTTTTCCCTAATCAGTATCGATAATCAAAATCTAGATACATTTCTTTATGACCCATTGTCCTTAATGAGATTCTGAAAAAGAACAGGCAACCACATGCCAAAGCCCTGCTAGACGGTCCCCGTGATTTAGCGAGGCAATACCTGTTGTGAGGTGTTCCACCTTATTAGCATGAGCCCCTGAGTGGGGCAGCTTACCTATTGCATGTCACCTATTCCACAGCAGTCTGAAGCATTACAGCAGAATTCTCAATAGTCAGAGGTGGCAATGATGTTTTTTTTTTTTTTTTTTCTGAATGAACTGGTGATTTTTCCTTTTAAATTAAGGCTGTGTATCTTTGCATCCTTGCTCACTATTTGAACTTCTGAACAACCTATTTATGAGTGAACAATTCAGTCCTTTATTCGTTATTTTGTCTCTTAGAAGCAATTCAGTGTTTTCCTTTCAAATATGTACTGTTATTTTTGATACTGTCCGTGGAAGCATCCTTTGGTATCTGGCACGTGGAGCAGGCGAGGTGTGCTGAATTCTTGAGATCCTAATTGAACTCTGAGTGGTTGAGTGAATCTTGTCTGTTTTGTGCATTGTTTGATTAAGTGGATCTGCTTAGCTGTCTTGGTGACAACCCAGAATGTTGAAATGTGTAATTGCCACTACCAAGGCAGAAGGTGTGGGTCCTCACAGACTCTAGCATCAGCACGTGTCTTCTGTTGTGGTCAGTGCAGTAGTTAAGTTCTTCGAGCTAAATTTTTGTATCATGCCTTTCCCCTCCTTAGGTTAAACCTAACCCTAAAACTTATGTCCGGCAAGAACAACAGCATTGCTCATGTGTACGCACACCATTTGGAGCAGTCAACAAGCATACTGCTGTGTGGTCCCTGTTCATCCTCTGGGACAGGTATCATCATCATCAGAGTCTTAGGGAGAATAAGCCACTTTCTCAGGATCACACAGCTAAATGGTGGAGCCAGGGTTTGAATTCAGATTTGACTTCAAGCCTGCCTCATTTGGAAGTAGTTTGGATAATTCAGTGTTTTTCATCTGTTCCTTGAAAATATATTAAATGCTCGTTCTGAGGCTTCTTGATGGGAGGGTGATTAGAAGATGTTTCTGAATCATTTATTTCCAGGCTTGGGGTTAGGACCTGGGAACTCAAAGATACATTCCAGAAGGTTGTTGTCCTCAGGGGAGCTTACTACACATCCTCTGAAGGTTCCTTCTTTAGCTCATTAATTTTAATAATCTCTTCCCACCCCTTTTGGAAATTAGCAAGATCGTGTGTCAGTGCTTCTTTGAATCAACTTATATAGCCAACTCTTTAACAACAACAACAAAAAAGAGTAAAAGTACTTATATTCTAGTGAATATATATTTTTAAGTTTGCATTTTTATTGTTTTGGACCATTTTGATGGTATGAATGTATATGGTTATGGTGAGAATTTTTGATTAAGGGAAATAAGGGCTCTGGGGCTGCTGTAAATTAGGCTCTCACATAAGTGGGTCTGCCTTGGATTCCAGTGTTGGGTGTTAACTTGTGAATGTGATAGAGTACTCATGGCATGACAGATTTTTTTTAGAATATTCTTTTGAAACTGAACCAAAGGACCACTTGGTAAGGAACCTGCATATCAGGTACTGCTTAAAAACTGTTTCAGTCTGAACTATCAAGATAGTGATGTGCTTATACAAAAATGTATAGTTTGCTTCAGTCTTAACACAAGATATTTTACCAACTTCCTTTTTTAGGGAAAAGTGATAATTTTATAATATTCTTTGCCAATTTAGTTTTAATTTTTGTGAATCTTGAGAAAGGGATATTTTCCTTTTTTTGCAAACTGGTAAAAATTGCCAGGTAATCTTTGCTATTTAATACTACATGTGCCATAGGGATGCACATTTTATAAAGTAACATGGACCTTAAAAATTATATTAAAGAATTTGAGATATTGATATTTTTTGACTGCATGTGAGAGCATTAACATGTACAGAATAGTAGTATGGATAAAATGTAGCACTGCTCACTATTATTTTGTTAAACCTATAAATTTTCTGTGGTGTAATCACTGTGAATTTTTCAGAGTAATGAATGGAAGCATATTATCTTTTGTTTTTTCCTGAGGTTAAGGAAAAGCCATATGTTGCATGGAACTGTAGTCAATAAGTTAATGTTTTGAACCAAGTCTTTATCTCATAATTATTTCTAAAAGTTATTTTCTCTCCACGTGAGGAAAGAATTTAGCATGTATTTCCTCAGGTTGATGAAGTAATATGCTCATTAGGAATACTTGTTAATAAAATGGTACTATAATAATGTCAGATCGTAAATTAGAGGTTGCTCTTAACTGTTACTGCCACCACCAGCACCACCAACGCTACTAACCATTATTTAAGTGCTTTATAGCCTCTTTTAATCCTCTCAGTAACTCCCAAGAGGTAGGTACCATTAATCATTATTAGCACCATTTTACAGATAAGATACTGAGACACAGATAGATTTAGTACTTTGCCCAAGGTCAGTCCTATGGCTAGTTGTGATCCAACCAGGGTTTACAGCTGCATTACTGAGGTGGTACTCATAACCAGTATACTGTAATTGCTTCTCCAGGAAAAATCATTAAACTTAATACAACCAAATTCCAACAATTACACAAGTACTAATAAGTAGGATATGGTCAGGCGTGGTGGCTCACGCCTGTAATTCCAGCACTTTGGAAGGCTGAGGTGGGCAGATTGCTTGAGCCCAGGAGTTCGAGACCAGCCGGGCAACATAGGGAGACCTCGTCTCTACAAAAAAAATAAAATAAAATAAAATAAATAAAAAGCCGGGTGTGCTGGCACATCCCTGTAGTCCCTGCTACTTAGGAGGCTGAGGCAGGCAGATCTGCTTGATCCTGAGCCATGATTGCGCCATTGCGCGTCAGCCTGGGCAACAGAGTGAGACCTTGTCTGAAAATAATAGTAATAATAATAATTAGGATATTCATGCAACAGAACAACAAACATTTTGACTGGGGAAAATGGAATTCCAACTGTTGAATCCCCTTCCTGTGATTTCATTTTATTTCCGTTGAAGTAACATTATGAACTTCTATGCTTGTTTTTGGTGCATGGTTGCATATGCATCACGTACTGATAAAACATCTCGTGAGCTGAGTTAACAGTCCGTCTTACTGCCGTTCCACTCTGGGATGTAGACGGTGCTCTGTGACTCCTGCTGTTCTTCATGTTGCATATTTCCATACTGGCTGATAGAGGCTTCATGGCGTGAAAATAACCCTGGAGTCCGAGTTGGTTGATGCATAGTTTGGAGCACCTTTAAGAGTGCCTTTGTTGTGCCTGTGTGTTAATAGCTGTGCGAGAGCCAGCTGGCCACCGTGAAGTTTGGGGACTGGCACTTGCTGTCCATTCATATCCAGCACCATTTCTTCTCATGAGAAAACATGGCCTTGTTGGTAGCAGTCCCTGCATTTCCTTTGGACTGTGGCGTTTTCTGTCTCTGGTACTTCTGTGTTAATCCTGTGGGTGTTGCCATTCCTTTTACCTGCAGCCTCTCGACGTCATTCCAGGTCCACTAGTGCTCTCTCCACTGCTGAATCTGTTGGGCAGTCAGGTGAACAAGTGCTAACTGCATGACTTGGCTTCTTCATATGTTCTAGTTTCACACCCATGTTAACATTTGTTTTCATCTGTGTCGGCTAGCACTTGGCATGTATGCACCTCATATTTTTTTCCCCAATGTGCTTTAATTTTTTTAAGTTATTGAATGTTTATAGTTCTGTTAATAGGCTGTAGATGCTTTATAGCCTGTTTGACAACATCATTTCTCCAGTATTCATATTTACGTTAAAACAAAAAACAGGGGAGTAATTCCCTTCCTGCCACTCTGTCCCCAGGAAAATAACCAAAATTAGGTATTATTTAGGGTTCCTGTGGGGCAAGGGGGCATGGATATCACTCAACAGATTCCCTTCCAAAGTCTTTACTCCGAATAAACTGCCAAATATTAATGCTAGTTATTAATGTCAAGTTCACATTTTTTAAGGTACCATTTAGTTAACAGTGTTGCAAATTATAGCATACATAATTTCATATGTATGAACATAAGTGTATTGTTCTCAAAGTTTTATAGAAACACAAGATCAGGATTCAGGTAATCAAGTCAGGCCAGAGGTATCCTTTGCAGCCTGCAAACCCCAAACCTGCTCTCTCAGTTCTGTTTAGCAATACTCAACATCCACTGGTTAGCCACAGTGGCAAAAAGTAAGCATACAGTAATATATCAGTTTGTTAGATTTCATGCTAACAGTCCCTAATGACTACAGTTTTCTCAATTGAGTAAGGTAGAATCTATGAATTTGCAGACCATTGATGGTGACAATTGTTACCAATTCACTGAGTCCGGTATTTTCTCTTTTTTTCCTCTAAATGAAGCCCCCTATACTTTGTTTGTTTTTGTTTTTTGGTTTTTGGGTTTTGTAACAGGGTCTCACTTGTTACCCAGGCTTGGAGTGTAGTAGCGTGATCTCGGGTCACTGCAACCTCTGCTACCTGGGCCCAAGCGGTCCTCCCACCTCACTCCCCAAGTAGCTGGGACTACAGGTGCGTGCCACCACACCCAGCTAGTTTCTGTTGTTTTTGTAGAGACGGGATTTCACCGTGTTGCCCAGGCTGGTCTCAAAACTCCTGGGCTCAAGCGATTTACCCACCTTGGCCTCCCAAAGTGCTGGGATTACAGGCAAAGCCACCATGCCCTGCCTCCTGTATATTCTGATTATGTACATTTCCCTGAAGATTAGGGGCCAGACTGAGAGCACAGTCATATGTATTCATCTCTTGAAAAAAAATGAACTTTTAAGAGTATCAGAGCATTGAGAATATGGAACAGATTTTGCTCTGGTGAAAACACAAAGCTTATAGTTTTGCTTAGATCTGGATAAACATTTCCCTTTAAGATTTGAAATTCAAATTGTCTATGATATATATCAAATGATCTGTAGTCACTGTGTATGGCAAAGCTGTATGCATCTTGGAAGCACAGAATAATTGCATTGTTCTTACAGTTTTAATTTTGTGTCTGAAAAAATCTGTATTCTCCCTGGAGCAAGAATTGCTGGCATGAGATTTTTTTTTTTTTTTTTAAATTTTGTAGACTTCGTTTTATTTAAGTTTATGCTGGGTAATTTTTTAATGGCTTATAATTGAATTACTTTCATTCTGTTACTCATAAATTTCCTACTATCTACCCTTTTTTAATGAAAAAAAAAACTTGAACAAAGATCGTCTATAAAACTATATGTGCACAATAAATCTCACATTTACACTTGTTTCATATTTCAACTGATAAATATAGATATATGTAACTTTTAATGGCCTGTTTTAGTTTATATGGCACATTACCTTTTAAACATAATGACTAAGATGACAGTTGGAATGACCAGCAAATGCATTAAAAAAGGGGATAGTATAACATACAGTTTTTGTTTCTTTTAAAAAATTCATGACTGTATAACTATTGATAAGCAGTGTTTAAATTTTTCTCCCTTTCTATGGTGGTGGAAGGTATAATGTTTTGAAATTGACATTTTTAAAAAGCTAAATAACAATTCGCTTTTTAAGTTCACCAGTTTTATAGGCACTGTCTTGTTACATATCTAAAATTTTAAATACGTTGTTTTATAGGAAAGATCAATTCATGTAAAATTAGCTTCCCTTTTATTCTAGATGCTTCTAGAATGTGGCTAACATAGAGATTTTCCTTGTCCAATGTCTTATTTGTTAACACGGAGAAAATAGAAAATATTTTATCGTAACATTTTTCTTCCAAAGGTTTTTATATGTTAGACTTTTAAATAAGAAATTTTTTACTGGTAGATAATGTATAACACACTTAATGAAGATACGACTTACACTGTCTTTCTCCTAGTATAGTTTTAATCTCCAGCACTTCCTAAGGAAGGTTGGTCAGCTAATTTAATGGGACTTTAAAAAGTCAGTTTTCATTTCCATGTTCACAAATAAACTTAAAATTATTGTTTGAACTACTAAATTTGTTTTAAATTCTTTGGATTCTTTCTGTTATTTTGTTTATCTGTATAAAGATTACCATTCTAAATTATTTGAGGAACCCAAGTAAAACTTATATTATCTAAATTTTTAATGTTCATCAGTGAAAGTGCAAGATTTTTGGTGATTATTAATTTTAATAAATTGATTTTTAAGTAATTTTTGTTGACACAAGTATCATGACAAACAAATATCTAAAATGAGTTTAGCAATAAACAGTAGTGACACTAATAAAAATTTGCACAGAAATCAATTTGTTTCAAATTTTAATTTTTTACCACACATTGCATTAGAACTCTTATGAAACCATGAAGCTTTCTAATTAGTTTGACCAAATATCAAGGCCACTTGCCTCTATAGGGAAAGCTAAATAGATTAAAAGATTCAACTCATAGCCCAGCTCCCATAAGTTCCCCCTTCCCTCTCATATCTCAGAAACTTTTCAATACTAAAATATCATGTTTGAACAATTTTGAGTGACAGTGCTTTGTGGCACAATAGCATTAAATGTGAACAGCTTAACCTCTACCACTGGTAAAGTCAAGTGTAGTTAAAATTGGCTAGAGATTTTTCAGTGCTTCTGTCTACTTGGTGGGAAGAGGTGGTAGTCCTTGCAAGGAATTGAGATAATTTCAATTAAAGTGACACATGTTTTGCTTTTGTTTTTTAAATAGATCGATTTGGGCTTGGCCAGCCAGGAAGAATACCTGGTTCTGTGAATGCCATGAGAGTTCTGAGCACAAGTACAGATCTTGAAGCTGCTGTTGCCGATGCTTTGGTAAGAGGCACAGTATGTATGTAAACAGAGTCTGTTTCAAATACTCATCTGCATTTCTCTCTGTCTTAACAGGAAATGGCCCCCAAATCAGGTTATTAAATCATCTTTGACACTCTTTAAAATTGTGTAACTGTTGGGTAAATTTATATTGTTATTGTTTGCTCCTTAAACTTTTATCTCTGCACACATATAAGTGAAAATGGACTTTACAGAAAATATTAGCGTCAAGTATTTCTTATCGGTGCTCTTCAGTATCAAGGAGCTTTTGATGACACTGGACCTCTCAGATGTCACTGGGCTTCTTTTTTTCTTTTTAACCATGTTTTTTGTTTTTGTTTTTGTTTTTTTCCCCTGGCACTTCCTTTTTTCCATTCTGTTGCTTCTATTGCTTTACAGACTTTGATGGCATAACCTAGACGTTTTATTATAATAATAGGTAATAGAGTTTGAGGTTTGAAAATCTTGCGTTTATTCTATTATCTTGTCCGTTTGATTTTATGTTGTTTTTCCTAAATCTTTGAGGATGTGAAGCAATGGTGGAGTATGTTTTTGCATCATTATAGTGTAATATCTGAAAACCATAAATGATCATGAATCCTTTAATTTTTTTGGTTATACCAAAAAGTTCCTTGGTAGAATCAGCTTGTGGTCAAATTGCTTTTTAAAGATGCGTTTCAGCTAGTCACACAGTCTCTTGCATATTCCGGTTTATGTGCTCAGCATTTGAAATGGATGTTCTTTAGAACTGTCTGATCACTGGCCTTGCTCTTGCTGTTTTAAGATTTATTCTCTTGTAAAGGAAAAAAGTATGTAATATCCTGCTTTCAGATTCTTAAGTCAGCCATGTTTTGTCAGATCAACATTTTACAGTTTATGGCTATGGTAATTCCAGTTTTCATTCCTTCTTGTCTCGCCCTCATTTATTCCTGCTCAGTCAGGTTCTTTGACAAGTATCTGTGAGCAAGCAGTTTGCTGCTCTCATGATGCGAAAGCTGCCTGGCCATGTGTATTCCTCAACCTTATGTATAGAAAGACTTTTTTCTGGCAGGTGCTAGAGTTCAGGGTAATTGCTCTAACTATGGCTTTAAGAGTCAAGAGCTGGAACAGAATTCTCTGAAACTGTTTGTCCTTCCAAGTTGCAGCATTTAGAAATCTGTATCTTATTCGTTCAGAGACCCTGGGAAGTGGAGGTCAAAGGGGTGGGAAATGATGGATGTGAAGCCCTTAGTTGAGACTTCCACTTAAGTCAGGGGAATTTCTTAGTTCTTTAAAGAACTGCATAAGGGACTGTGTGCAAAGTTCTAGGAGACAGAATAGGACTTGAGAGTTTGAGCTTTGGCTTGACTTGACTTAAGCTTTTCTCTGAGCTCTGGCTCCCATTAGATTCATTACTGCCCTTGTTACTTTTTGTCCAAACTGTTTAGTCTCTCCAAGTGACCCTGCTTCTGAAGAGAAAACACAGAAATGGTACAGAATCTTTGCCTCACTGAATAGACACCACGGTGCCAGACAGAATGTCTCAGAGGAATAGATAGAATTAATGGTGACCTTAGAGATTTGCCTTACTGGTATGGGAAAAGTTTTAGCAAAGAATTGCAGCAAGTTAGCAGAAGGTCTTCTGAGACATGGCGGAGGGTTAGGAAATGCCATTTTGAAAGCATTCTTTATTATTATTCGCTTGATATGAAACGCTTGCTAACCTGTGTTTTTGGTTTGCTAAGATATGTTTTGCTGTACACTTTTGTTGCAAGAACAGTCCCTACATATGCTTCTGACATAATTCTCTATGCTTTTTCCCCATCCTTCAATATTTTCCTGCCTACAGCTGTTAGGAGACTCCAGGAGCAAGGTACCAGTGCTTTAACTTTTGTTTTACAACTTTATTTCTTCTGTTGCAAGTATATTTCTTTCAGAAGCTAGTGAAAACCAAAAAATATAGTATAGAAATTCTGATCTGAAAAATGATTTTGTTGAATCATAACAGTGATTCACCATCATTGTTGTCTTTATTCATGGTGGAGTCAGTCACCTTTCATGTACATCTGTTTTAGTATTTATTTCGAATGTCAAGCTCTGCTGCTTCGCCTAGTAGTGTTTCATTTTATTAACTCAATTTGTGCCTATTCTTACGTTGTCATGATTTCATGAATGGATTTATCAACATTTTTCTTATTTTAGGAATCTGGTTTTTGTGTGACCATATAATTTATTATCCAAACAAAAATGCTTTTGAGATTAAAAGGGAGATGCTATTAATAATTATGACAATAGGCTTAAGGCAGAACAGTCCTGAGCAAGTTGGATTAATAATAATATGCCATATTATTAGAGAAGTGTATTTGTATGGTTTAAGCCAATAGCTGTTTGTTTTACTTCTATCAATTTTATATAGTTGCTGCTATATCATATTTATGGGTATAGCAGTTTTGTGTTCAGGGTCAGAGAAATGAATAAAGTGGGTATTATAGTCTACTTTCAGAGAAGCCTATTTGTGTTTCAAAACCCTAAGTCTTTAATAAAAGTGGCCAGGAGTTAGAAACCAGCCTGGGCAACAGAGGGAGATGACTTAGGAATCCTTTTACATGGGCTGCTTCTGCCACTGACATTTCAAATTCTGACTTTTTCAGGAAACATAAATATTCACACAAGTTTATCCATAGAGCGTGCTCAAGATATATTGCTTTTGACTGCGGAGGGGCTGTTGGCTGCACGTATTAGCATTGTGCCAGGTGCCCAGCTGAAATATTTAACATATAATTTCATTTAATCCTCACAACAAGCCTGTATGATAGGTATAATTATTGTTGTCTTAAAGACGGGGAAACCGAAGCAAAAGGCCTAGGAGGCTTTCAGAAGTCATGCAGCCCAGTCAGTGTTGGCACCAGGATTGTGATCTGTCTGTCTTCCTGTAAAGTCCACATACTGTACTAGAGGCCACACTCTTTCCTCTCTACTACAGAGTGCTTTGCTTATTAGTTATTTTACCTAATGGAAAACTGCTTTTCTGTTTGTATTTCCATAATCTGTAAGCACAGGAAAAGTGTGTGTGTGCATATGTCTTTCTACACTTAACTCTTTGTTGTAGATTTTGTTTGGTATGACTCACGGTCATTTCACCTTTCTATTTCTTCCTCAATCACTCCCATCCCTCATTGGACCTGTCAGAAGAAGCCTGTGAGGAGGAGATATGAGCCGTATGGGATGTATTCTGACGATGATGCCAACAGTGATGCCTCAAGTGTTTGCTCTGAGCGCTCATACGGCTCCAGGAATGGTGGCATTCCCCATTATCTGCGGCAGACTGAAGATGTAGCAGAAGTTCTCAACCACTGTGCTAGTTCAAACTGGTCAGAAAGGAAAGAAGGGCTTCTGGGCCTGCAGAACTTACTGAAGAGCCAAAGAACACTGAGGTGAGGACCACAGCAAGAATATGAGCTAAGTTGGAATCCCCTGTTGGACTCTTCAGGGGCTTAAAGGGTTTTCCTATAATTAATGGAGTTTTCAAGAGGTCCGCTTGCAGGAACAGGCACTACAGGTACCAAGATGACTAAGAGACAGTCCCTGCCATCCAGAGGCTTTGAAATATCTGGCAAATATCCTTTTTTTCTTTCACTTTTTTTTTTTTTTTTGAGATGGAATCTCGCTCTGTTGCCTAGGCTGGAGTGCAGTGGCACGATCTCGGCTCACTGCAACCTCTGCCTCCCGGGTTCAAGCGATTCTTCTCCCTCAGCCTCCTGGGTAGCCGCGCCACCACACCTGGCTAATTTTTGTATTTGTAGTAGAGACAGGGTTTCACCATATTGACCAGGCTGGTCTCGAACTCCTGACCTCATAATCTGCCTACCTTTACCTCCCAAAGTGCTGGGAATACTGGCGTGAGCCACCGCGCCCAGCCCATCTGGCAAATATTCTGTAACTTATTAGGCTGATAAAAGATTTAGGGTGGACACAGTGGCTCATACCTGTAATCCCAGCACTTTGAGAGGCCAGGGCAGGAGGAGCACTTGAGTCCAGGAGTTTGAGACCAGCCTGGGCAACAAAGGGAGACCCCATCTCTACAAAAAGGTTAAAACGTTAGCCAGATGTGGTGACATGCATCTGTAATCCCAGAAACTTCGGAGGCTGAGGCAGGAGGATCACATGATCCCAGAGTTGGAGATTGCAGTGCATTATGATTACACCAGTGCGTTCCAGCCTGGGTGGCAGAGCAAAACCCCGTCTCAAAAAAAAAAAACAAAAACAAAAAAAGACCTCATGTTTGGTTCCCTTCTGTTTCATATTTGTCCAGTAGATGTTATTTGAGAAATATCTGTGTACAGTATGCAATTCAGGTTTAAAATAAATAAATAAAACAACCCTGCAGGTTAGTATGGTTCATTATACTTTAGAGTCCTAGATAGGATGTTATCAGTCTTAGTCTGGAAAATTTTGATGCGCATGTGCATATATGTAGCTTATAAATGTACATAGCGAGGAGATAACAAAATGGAGCACTCTAGTAACAGCATTGTCTTTTAAATGGATTGTTTTTGCTTTTTTCTTTGTTTCTGTTTCATGAATTTTCTAAAGTAAGTGTGTATTATACATACCGAAAAAGTATGTGGTTATGCCGTATTTTGTCAAATCTAAGGCACCGTACACACACCCTTATTTTTAGCCCTTTAATAAATGTCATGCGTATTAAACCGTGACAGCACAAAAATGTCATTGATTATAAGATGACTCAATTACAGAGATGTGAAAATTAGAGAAAGGAGATGTGAATGGGAACTAAGAAATGGGTGACTTAGAATACATGAAATGCAGTCTACTTTATCCTTTGGATAGTTTTTGTAAGATAAGTTAATGGTCATAGATGGGCATTCCTCTTGGGTTCTGTAAGGCTAAGTGAGCACTGGCTGGTAAGTTGCCCAGCTCTCACTGTGGCTCTTCAGGCCGTCTGACTCCACCCTCCTGTACTCATACCTGCCCCCCATTATTCATCTGTTCATGAAGGCGATATAGGAAGTTTTGTCATGTGCCTTCTGAAACACAGGCATCCTGTGACGCTCTGGTCACCTGTCAGAAACAGAAGATGGTTTGTCACGATTGTTTCTCAAGAATCTGTTTAATCCTGGTGGTCCCACTTTGTAGATTCTTAGTGTTCACCAAGTACCTATTGAATAATTTCTAGGAATCTGTTGATTGGCGTTGGTCTAATCTAGGTTACGTCGTTAACAATATTGAAGGGTCCTTGAACCAACTGTCTCATCCACATAAGAAGGCATTAATCAGGGATGATTTGTGGAAGAGAGGACCCTTCTATCAAACTTCAACCATGGGACTTGGTGATTGTCAAGGATCAGAAAAGACAAAGGGCACCAATGTGAAATGAATGTTTCCTTTGTCCTGGGTACAGTAGAAGGTACAATGTGTTAGCCTTTTTCATCCTCTCAGCAGCCACGTGACATGGTCCTTACCCTGTTTGACCAATAAGGAAAAACCAGGCTTAAAAATAGCAGAGTACTTATTTATTTTATTTATTTATTTTTGAGACTGAGTTTCGCTCTTGTTGCCCAGGCCAAAGTGCAATGGCGTGGTCTCGGCTCACTACAACCTGTGCCTCTGGGTTCAAGCGATTCTCCTGCCTCAGCCTCCTGAGTAGCTGGGATTACAGGCACTCGCCACCATGCCCAGCTGATTTTTGTATTTTTAGTAGAGATGGGGGTTTCACCATGGTGGCCAGGCTGGTCTTGAATTCCTGACCTAAGGTGATCCACCTGCCTTGGCCTCCCAAAGTGCTGGGATTACAGGTATGAGCCACTGCGCCTGGCCCAGAGTACCTTATTTACAGCAGAACTGAGATTAAAATCCAGGTCTGTCTGACCCTGAAACACATGCTGTTTTGTTTTTTGCCTTTTTTGTTTTGTACCTCTCATTACAGTGCAGGATAGACATGCTTTTTAAACTGTATTCCATTGCTTTTCAATCGTGGCATGTGGAAGACACAGCTGGGATAAAATGAAAAAGATTTTGGTGCATGGCTTTGTCACTTCCAGATGTGTCCCCTTGAGTAAATCACTCAGTCTTAGTTTCCTCATCTTAAAATGAGAACCGATCTCTGGTTTTGTATTCCTATTTGATTTAGCTACAAATTAAATAAGAGTTTGTGGAAAAAAACCTTGTTATGTAGATATAAATTATGTAAAGCTTATGTAGTTGACTGATCAGATTACCCAGGTGTAGCAGTGTGCACCTCCCAGCTACTCAGGAGGCTGAAGTGGGAGGAACGCTTGAGCTTGGGAGATCAAGGCTGTAGTGAGCTATGGTCGCACCACTGCACTCCAGCCTGGGTGATAGAGTGAGACCCTGTCTCAAAAATAATGCAAGTAGTCAGTTCATTGAATTCTGTTTTATTTCTTCTAGTCGAGTTGAATTGAAAAGGTTGTGTGAGATCTTCACCCGGATGTTTGCTGACCCTCATAGCAAGGTAGGTCTGGAAGTCATGCCTGCCCTGTCTTTCCCCCTGCACGTCTGTGTGATCTGTGTGATATACTATCCAAGAATGAGAGAGAATTCCCGATAGTGCAGTTCCGACCTTACAGAGTAACACCAGTTTCAGCACTAGTGTATGTTACATCTTTTTAAAACAGAATTCTTGGAAACTTAAATGTGCTTAAAATTTCAAGTTAAATAAGTGTGCTTCAAGTAAGAGTTATCAGGGAGAGAATCAGATGGTCTTTCTTACATTCAGCAAATATTTCTGTATGTCTCCTGTTAGCCAAAGAGTGAGGTAGGTGCTAGGGTATAAGATCGTATTATAATATCATGCATTTTTTTAATGTTGTAGTATATAGTGAAGAAAATAAGTGTATAATTATTTTTGTATCCCATGTAGAATATGTCTGTATAGGACAAGATAGAAAAAATGAAAGTATTTAATGGATTTATTGAAAAACCAGATTATTTCTTAAAATAGGATTTTGCTGTTCCCAAGAACTTGCTGAATTGGTGATCACTTAGCTGGTGCCCACACCTCCTGAGGGCCATAGGGAACACTAAGCCTGAGGAATGCTTTTTCTGAGGAGAGAGTCCCAGCTGAGGGGGAAATGCCCATGCGTATGGGACAGAACACTTTCCAGGGGTGGTGGAAAAGGGGTGAGAGAAGGACTCTTTAGAGAAATTTACTTGGGGTCTAGATTTTAAATACTATTGTTTGGGAGGAGGCCCTTAGAGACTATTAAATGCTTTTGGAGGAAGAAAGTGGAAGGCAGGATGAAGATTTAGGGAAAGGGGTAGATAAAGGACAAAAGTAAGGTGTGGAAATGGATAGAACCTTAAATGAGCAGAAGCAAATCTTTAATGCTGACATGCAGGATCAACTAGTTTTCCTAGTAAAGATGGCCTCCTCTGAGTCTTCCTGGAAGAAGGAAACCCGTGGCGGCCAGAGAGCCCAGCCAGTTAGTCATCATCATCTTTCTTTTCCTATCCTTGCTTCCTCATAGGAATTGTCCTTGAAATATCAAACATCCATCCACCCATTCATTCACCCAGTCATTTAACATTTACTGAGTAACTGCTCTGGGGCGGGGATACAGAAAAGAAGATATGGCCCCAGCCTTTTGAGGTGCTCATGAGCGTAAAGGGGAGTGAATGCAAGGGTTCTCCTCCTCTCTCCCCACAGCTCTCCTCACTCAGTGTCATTCTTGAAGCATGTCTTAAACTTTCTGCTATGACCCTCACAGCAAAGTCAACATTAACAATATTAATAAAAATCCACTGGGCACGGTGGCTTACACCTGTAATCCCAGCACTTTGGGAGGCTGAGGCGGGTGGGTCACTTGAGGTCAAGAGTTCGAGACCAGCCTGGCCAACATGGCGAAACCCTGTCTCTACTAAAAATATAAAAATTAGCTGGGTATGGTGGCGTGTGCCTGTAATCCCAGTTATTTGGGGGGCAATCACTTGAACCTGGGAGGCGGAGGTTACAGTGAGCTGAGATCGCACCACTGCACTCCAGCCTGAACAACAGAGTGAGATTCTGTCTCAATAAAAATTCAGGAAAGGCTGAGCTTAAGCCTTTAAAGGCCACATAGATATCCAAAGATAAAATGTATCAAGATTTTTCCCTAAGGTAGTGTTAAAAGCAGTAAGATTTAACGCATAAGCATAATTAGATTGTTAAGATTTAAAACATAAGCACTATTAGATGGTTTAGAACATTGATAAATTTCTGTTACCTGTCACCCCTAGATTGCTGATTCAGAAGCAGAATGTGAGGATAAAGAAGGAAATTTGTTTCCATCAGAAGTCTCTTGTACAGTGAGTTTGGAGGTCTCAGTTTAGTTAATATTTGTTAGCTGCCTGTAAGCTAAGCCAGGAATTCCACAGCTAAATGACCTTTTTCCTGAGCTGTCTCACAGGAGACCCCTGGTGGTGAATAGTTGCTCTACTAGAAATGAGGCGGTATAGGGTTCATGGGCTGTCCAAGTAGAACAAGTTTCGTTAGCAAGGTAGGGATACTCAGTGCTACTTTTCTCTCTGAAATTGGTTCAGAGATATTCCACTATGCACTCTATTTTGCCTTAGCAAAAATCATTACACAACAGCATGAGAATTATGTTAATATCTTTTATTCTAAGCTGTAACCATCTGTTACTTTATGATATCTGAAATTGGTGTACGTCAAAATATCTGACGTGAAAAGCAATAGCTACACACTAGTGAGTAGGTGTTTTTATTGGCTCATTTTATAATAGTATGTGTTGACTGCTAGATAGTGAATAAGAATACTATAGAATTAGGACACAAGGATTTGTTGTTGTTTAAGAAAGAAAAGCCTTCATGATTAAACTCAGGAAAAGTTCATTTCTCTCTGTACTGCTTTTTAAAGACGTATATTGAGGGAGGAGAGAATATTTCATTGGTTTGTAGCCTTTTCAGATTTTCTTAAACGCATGAAAATGATATTAATTCACTGCCAACTAACATGGAATTTGTTTTGTTGCATGACCTCGTTTGCGGTGGAATTCACAACAGAGAGTAAGTTCCATTCCTTTTTCCTTTATCTGTTTTCTGCACTACATTTTCCTTCTGTACTAGGAACAGTTGTTAACAGTGTTAACCTGAGTTACAAGAGTCTGGGCAAAGCACATATGAGCATTTTTAATGTTTTGTAGACTTTGGAGGAAATTGTGAATTCAATATGTGAAGTACTTGGTTTTCATTTGTGTCTAGGTTTTCAGTATGTTTTTGGAGACTCTTGTGGATTTTATAATAATTCATAAGGATGATTTACAAGACTGGCTTTTTGTTCTTCTCACACAATTACTTAAGAAAATGGGAGCAGATTTACTTGGATCTGTGCAAGCAAAAGTTCAAAAGGCTCTAGATGTCACAAGGTAAGTGTTTAAGGGTTAGGTCTGTTTTGATGTTACAGAATACTTGTAGGTGACTTTTTGCCATTCTCTTTTGTTACCTATGGCCTTTGTCACCCACTTGAATATCTCTTTTACTCAGTTCTCACTGTCTGTTGTTGACATACTTGTTGACATGTCTCACCAGTCCATGAAATGAAATACTGTATCTTCCTTGTGTTGATATTACTTTTGTGAGTATTTAAGACATATATAATAAACAAATGTAAAACTTTGGAAATTGATTCTCTTCTCATTAAAAAACATTTAAAGAAAACATTTAGAATATTTGTTTACATTTTTCTGAAGACCTTAGTGTTTTTATTACTTCAACTTACAAGTCATACTACCTTAGTGTTTTATTACTTCAACTTACAAGTCATACTAGAAATTGTTCTATCAGTGTATGATGTAGTTTCCATTGGTCCAGGAAAATTCTCTAAATTGACAGTACATTGGCTCAGAGATTAATAGCACATTTGCAGTAGTTGTGACCCTTCTGGCTGTTATGAGAAAAGAAAAACTGCTGAAACCCAGAAAAGTTAGAAAAGACTACGTGCTGCTGCTGTTCAGAAACTGCTTCTCTATCATCTGTGCAATTGTGGGTCCTCAGTATGCAAGTATGAGAATTAAAAGATCTCAGAAGACACTTTGCAGTAATGTCTTGGTTGTGATTTGGTGGAAGATGGATGGGGGGAATGTCAAATTGGTGAGCTTTTTTAAAGAACAAAGGAATAACTTCCAAGTGACTCAGAAAATTATCAGGGCGATAACTTTTATAAGTTACTGTAACCTGGAATATTCTAGTTATCATAGAATTTCAAGATGAAAGGACCTTAAAGATGATGCTCATTATATCAATGAGAAACAGACACTTTACCTTGACTTTGTGTTAGTGGCTGTTTGGGAACGAAAATCCAGGATTTCTGATGATTGCACTGTTGTCTGTTCTTATTGTTGCAGACTGTCTTGTGGGTGTGTGTCCTCACCTCCTGTTGGGGCAGGGGGGTGGTATGGATAGCACTAGAGCCTTCTCTTCCCTCTCTGGCTCCCTTGATTAGCACAGTAGCATATCCTGCCCTGCCAGCTTCCCTATGCGTGCAGCTGTTACATGACTCTGACTTCAAAGTATGCATCTGTTCCTCTACACCATGATGCCAGCTGTTTTCTTTTGGCCCTTGACCCTGTCAATCTGTGTAATTGCATTGCTATAAAATTCTGTTATCCAGAGAGATTTCCCTTCTGGTTTTTAATGAACTCAAAGTAACGTACTTGCATCTGTTGGTGAGGCCTTAAAAAAAGAATAATAATAAAATAAATAAATAAGAATCAAAGTGACATACTACATTTGCAATAAAGCCTTCAAACTTTGTCATTCCTTTGCATGGCTAAACTTAGTGGAGTTAGGGGGCATTACAGTACACCATTATACCAATGAATTATAAAGGTGTAGCCAAGATTGACTGAGGGGCTAGGCTGATAAGCTGGTATAATCGAGTGGAGTAGATAGGAGGGCTCTTGATGGGCTGGGGCCAGTTGTGACCACATTGGGACATGGGCTCAGTAGTACCAGACTTTTCAAGAAATGTGAGAAATGTGGATTTGGGCAACATATTTGAGAATTTTTTAAGATACTGTAAAGGCCAAATAAAACACTTGTGAGCCAGACTTGGCCTATAGGTCACTTAATTTAGGTGAATTTACCATTGACCAGATCCATTTCGTATTTTTAGGAATGGTAGGAGTACTAAGATTGTATTCCTAAACTTTGGTGATTAAGGAATACAATTGTGACCTCCTGTTAGTTTTCCTGGATGCCCCTTTAAGAGTCCTCATCTCAGTAGATTTGGTCTGAGTGCCTAAAGCATTTTTAATATTCCCTTCTATTTCTCAGCAGTTGAGATACACAGCTGTTTAAGCTGACCTAGAATAGTCAGTGACTATTAATAGGAGGTTTTAGTGACGGCTGAGAATTGCTTCTCAGTTTATAGACTTGAGTGCTAATCTGCCTCAGTTTCCTTTCCTTTGCCTGTGCCTAACAATGGCATATTTCCCGATCATACACACCCATTACTGAAATGTATTCTCCGTCCACCCCATGCTGCCAGAAAAAGGGAGAGACGTTTTGTGGGTGGTTTGTTGACATAGTCACTTAAATCAAGTATACTAAAGTATACTTTCCTTCCCTAAGTGATCTTCGAGATTCCAGGGTACAACTAGATGGTGGGAGGAAAGGGTACTATTGGATCAAGTTCACTTTTTATTAGTAATTGTATGTAGGATAACACTGGTACCTAATATATGCCATGTGCTTTTTATTTTTGTTGTATGATTTTATTTACTTTTCAAATCAATTCTATTTGCTTCATTTTAAAGAGTCAAACCTACTTCTTTATTTTACTACATTTATGTAGATTGGGAAAAATCTCTAAGAGGGTCCAAAGAAAGCAGTGTAGATATTTGCCTTGCATTTGTCTTTCCTGTTAATATGGACGTTACATCACCATTTTCCACATGGGCCCCATTGTGCAATTTTTAACTAATACTAGTAATTACAGCATTTTAACAGAAAGAGCACTGACTCTCTGGCCAAGAGTCCCTGAGGGCTACTTGATTGGATCAGAGATGCATGATGACCACGAGAAATAAGATCAGCAACAGGCAAGAATGGAGCAAGAGAAGGGGCTTCTGGGGCCCCAGGCTTCTCTGTGTGATTTGTGGCTGGATGGGAAATGTTTTGTCGCCATCTCACAGGCGACACACTTTTGTGGTGTGCAGGGACCCTAAGCAGTGACCAGGACCAAAGAGGATGATACGGTTAGTTTAAGCAGGGTCAGCTGTAAGCAGCCCAGTCAGGATGTAAAAATGAGATTTGGGTATCAGAAGTGATTTTTATGTTTAAGCAATATCCAGAAAGGTAGCTGGAGGGAAAATGAGCAACTCCCTAAAAAGGCGGGTAGAAATTTGTTCCTTAGTTTATTGCTTAGTCTCAATTTTTTGAATAGCCACTCAAAGTAAGTTCAGTTTGTGTTTGGGGACTTGCAAAAAGATTTTCCTTTTTCCATATTTTCTGTATAACATGTATTACTTTACATAAAACGAAAAGCACTGTTAAAAATGTGAACAGGGTTTTACATACATTAACTTACAATGGTATGCTTTTGTTAAATAGTTTTATATTGTTTTGTAATAAATTTCTTTAAAAAATCACTTTTTTCCCACCAACCTAGGGACTCCTTTCCATTTGATCAACAATTTAACATTTTGATGAGATTTATTGTGGATCAAACTCAAACTCCAAACCTCAAGGTCAGTAATTATTTGTCGTTACAATTCAACCTTGGAACTCAAATTTGCTTAAATTTACTTTTGTTTGTGCATGACCCATGTTTAGCTATTGTGAATAAATCTGCTGTGAGCATTCTTGCTTGATTCTTTGTGGACATGTTCCTGTTTCTCTTGGTTTGGTACCTAGTAGTGTATTTGCTGGTTCATTGGATAGGTATATGTTTAGCTTTTTTAGAAACCACTAAAATGGTGGTACCATATTGTATTCCTACCAGTAGTTTATGAGAGCTCTAGTTTTTCTACATCCTCACCAACATTTGGGCAGTACTAGTCTTTTTCACAATTAATATTTAAACTAGAAAATGAAGACATTCTTATGTGTGGAGATAGGTATCTTGTTGGAATGTTTAATATTAACATTCTAAGCTATGCAAGTTAATTGTTACATGTTGTGGAAAATCATACCTGTAATAACAAGACCAAATTTGAGGGAGGATGTGTGTTCATTTGAATTAGGTCACGTTCATCGTCTGTTCTTTGATCATTAACTTTTTGGAGGTTTTAGGATGAGCCTAATAAATAATTACCTTTTTCTCCTGAAGTCAAAACTAGTTGAGAAGTTGATGGTGAAGTTAGGGCAGAGCATCAGCTTGATTACTGAAAATGCTGCCTTATAGAACATGGCCTGGAATGTGTGACAAGACTAGAGCTGAACGTGCCCTGCAGTCAGTGGCAGAGCTAGAAATCCCACAGGCCTCTCGCAAGGGCTCCTGCCCCGGAAGTGTCTTGTAGCATAGGTGAGGAGGAGAGCACGCTTCTCTACAGGCACCTAAAAATGAAGAAAACTGAGTCGTGTGCTTCTTCCTGTCCCCAGACTTACCAATCAGTCATTTCATGCTTTTTCCTCTGTTGGATGTCGCTCCATGGGGAAACTATCAGTACAGGAGAAAGAAAGGAGATCCCTCTCAACAGGGTTTACTTTTCTCTAGCCACCTGATAAGAATTGTGTTCAAAGATTCATCAAGTGTACTTAATGTTTATAATTATTGGCTCTTTCAGGTCAAAGTTGCAATCCTGAAATACATTGAGTCTCTGGCCAGACAGATGGATCCAACAGATTTTGTAAACTCTAGTGAGACAAGGCTTGCTGTTTCTAGAATCATAACCTGGACAACAGAACCAAAGAGTTCAGACGTGAGAAAGGTATGTCCGAGAGAACCGACGTATAGTTACAGATTGTTCCTGGGCTTGTGTTAGACAAATGTATTTAGAAACTTGAACACCACGCCGCCCACACACAAACCTTTTGTCCCTAAGGCTCTGCTGTTGCTCTTTTCTCTCTCCGGCTCTGCCCGGTTTTGAACATAAAAATGAAAATCTGAGATCTTGCACGATGGGCTTATGGTTTCCCCAGGCATCTATTTTATATATTTTCTAATATGAAATCACTAGTAAATTAGTGTCTTTTACACAGATGTTTGTTTTCCTTATATCAGTTTGTAATACATACTTTGAAGACAAAATTGCAGACCTAGGACTGGCTGGCTACAGGGTCCCTGATCATTAAAATGTGGTTGAAAAGTTTGATAAGATGCAATAGATTCTTAAAAAAGAGCAAACGTCTTTCAATATGTAGCACATAAGTATGTGTGTGATATGTGAGTATGTGCTTCTGCGATGGAATGTTACTTAAGTATTGCCTGCTACAGGCTGAGACATATTTTAGATTTGCATATTACCTCGATTAGGGCCTGTTTGGAACAAACGAGCTTTGATGATAATGCCCACTCCCTGTGGACATGCACATTAGAATATTTGAACAAGGACTTATTGTCCTTACTATTCTGTTCAGAACATTACAGATAATTTTGAATTATTAGCCTGAGGCTCCAAAAACCTCAACTTATTTTAATACTAGCTCAAGCCAAATATAAGTAGAACGTTAGATATCTTGCCAGAAATCACTTCGTTCATTTACTGTTTGAATGAGTTTCAACACTTGTTTCAGTTATTTTGGATTATAGAGTGTTACTTCACAAAGCTTTATCTCCACTGACGTGCTACTTTCCATGCCTGCCCCCCTACTTCTCCTTTCCCATTGTGAGGTGTACTTAAATCCTCACCTTCGCTCCTAACTTATACCTAGGTTCTAGGACAATAATCCTGATCTTCAGAGGAATTTGAGAAGATTCAGATTAATAGTTCCCAGTCCTGGCTGCAATTAAAATCAACGTAGATTTCTGAGCTCTATTCCCAAGGAATTTGATTTCATTGGTATAGGGCAGAGCCTAGACACTCTGTTGTTTTTTTGATGGGGGTTCCTTTCACTCTTGGCTGATTTTTAATACACAGACAAGGCCTAGTATTTTGGGCCATGGCCCTGGAATGAACCTCAAGACATACAGACTACTGATGTAGTCTTGATCTGGTTCTTGCAAATTCTCTTGCTAGGCAGTGTTGCTCCTCAGTATCTTCAGGACTAGGCTGGCCTCTGTGTTCCCTGGCATCTTCCCCACCACCCTACCTTGGACCTAGAGTTTTTGTGCTTCCTCTAAACCCACTTTAGTGGTTAGGGCCCTGTTACCCTGAGCAGCTTCCTTCAAACTGATGGAATACCGGCCTGGTTTTCTGTATGTTGTCACTCAGTGCACTCTGTATTAATCATAGAAAGCTTCCTAGAGAAGATAAGATTCATCCTCAGCTGTGGAATATGGATGCAGTTTGCGTAAGTGATGAGTTTAGGGGAAGGACAATAGTCATGTTTAAGAAATGAGATTTGTCTGGGAACAGTGAAATAGACTGATATGTCTGAAGCAGAGGGTTTGGGAAGTTGAGCAGTAAGGAGACTGTTTTGCTCACCCTGCATGCTCAGTGTCTGGCATATGCCTGGAGTAACATAGTAGGCATTAATATATTTTGAATGAATTAATGAATGATAACTACCCATATGGAATTATTTCATTTCAAATGATACTTTGAAGCCATCATTTTAAAAACTATAGTTTTGGAAGTTCCCTTCTTTTGACTTCTTTATTCGTTTTCTATTGTGTAACAAATTACCACATACTTCCCTTGAAACAATAAGATTATCTCACAGTAATAAATCAGGAATCTGGCATGTGTTCTCTGGGTCCTCTGGTCGATGTCTCAGAGGCTGAAACAAGATGTCATCTGGATCTGCAGTCTCATCTGAGGCTGAGATCTTCTTCCAGCTCATTGGTTCTTGGCAAATTTCAGTCTCTCGCAGGTGTAGAACTCAGCCGCCTGCTTTCTTGCTGCCTGTCAACCGGGGAGCCATTCTCAGATAGTAGAGGCTGCCAGGACGTTTGCTTATTCAAAGCTATCGGGAGAATACATGAAGAAATAATAACTAAGAAACTCCCCAAATTTGACAAAAAACATTATACATCTAAGTAGCCCAACAAACTAAAAAAATTTGGGTTTTTTTTTGGTTTGTTTATTTGTTTGTTTTGAGATGGAGTCTCGCTCTGTCACCCAGGCTGGAGTGCAGTGGTGCGATCTCGACTCACTGCAACCTCCGCCTCCCGGGTTCAAGTGATTCTCCTGCCTCAGCTTCTTGAGTAGCTGGGATTATAGGTGCCCTCCACCACACCTAGCTAAGTTTTGTATTTTTAGTAGAGACGGGGTTTCACCATGTTGTTCAGGCTGGTCTTGAACTCCTGGCCTCATGATCCGCCCGCCTTGGCCTCCCAAAGTGCTGGGATTACAGGCGTGAGCCACCGTGCCCAGCCAAGATCTTTTAATAAAAGGATTCACACCTAGACACATAATATCTAATTGCTGAAAGCCAAAGCTTGCTGAAAGCAGCAAGAGGGGAGAAACTCATCCCATGCACAAGATCCTCAATAAGATTAACAGCTCATTTCTCTTCAGAAACCACGGAGGACAGAAGGCAATGGATGACATTGAAGGTGCTGAAAGAAAAAAAGCGGTTAGCCAAGAATTCACTGTTTGACAAAACTCTAATTCCAAAATGAAGGAGAAATTAAAACAAAGCCAGCCATAGAATCTCTCTCATTTTGAATCTCCCTGTTGCCTTTTTTTTTTTTTTTTTTTTTTTGAGACAGAGTCTCGCTCTGTCGCCCAGGCTGGAGTGCAATGGCCCAATCTCAGCTTACTGCAAGCTCCGCCTCCCGGGTTTACACCATTCTCCTGCCTCAGCCTCCCGAGTAGCTGGGACTACAGGCGCCCACCACCTCGCCCGGCTAGTTTTTTGTGTGTTTTTTTAGTATAGACGAGGTTTCACCGTGTTAGCCAGGATGGTCTCAATCTCCTGACCTCGTGATCCTCCCGTCTCGGCCTCCCAAAGTGCTGGGATTACAGGCTTGAGCCACTGCACCCGGCCTCCCTGATGCCTTTTAAGGGCTTGCCTGATTAGGTCAGGCCCACCCAGGATAATCTTCCTTTGGATTAACTCAAAGTCCACTGATTAAGGGCCTTAATTACATTTTTCGAAAATCCCTTCTGCCATGTAACACAGTCATGGGAGTGATATCCATTATATTCACAAGTCCCGCTCACTCTAAGGGTGGGAGGGATTATATAGGGTGTAATACATTATGGGGAATCTTGGGGGCCGTCTTAGTGTCTTGACTACCAGGATTTTGGTGTCTCTTTTAGAGGGTTGGCAGAAGGCTACCGTAGTTATTCCATAATTCCTTGGCTCTTATTTTAGGAGGGAGCTTTTTTACCTATCTATGCAAATTATGATGTGGTTCAAGTTACTTAGCAGACGCATTTCTGTGTTCTGTCTCCTAGATTTTTTTTTAAAAAATCATCTAAGATATCCGTGGCTCTAAACTATTTGGCTTTCAGTAACATTCCGCACTAACTAGTAAAGCATTACTTTTGACTCAAATAGTTGTATCATAGGACAGTATTAAAATAGATGTCCTCAAACTCTACATTAGGATGCTGCAGATTAATCCTTTTTGGAGGTAGATTCACTTTTATTTAAATTCCCTGTTTTGATGTACCATCCATTGAACATTTCTAAATATAGTTGCTTTTGTCAGTGATGCAGCTGCCTTACCCAAGAATATGAGATGTTCTTGAAGTACTGTCAAAATGAAAGTAGTGCCTAAATAAATTAAAATACTTAGAAGAATTGTGATATAGCATATATCACTGCTCTAAGATCTAAAATTGATAAGATTTAAAATTATTTTAAAGCTGTATAAAAATAAAACTAGTACCATTCTTATCTAGATCATTTAACACACTAAACGTAAAATACATGTCTGTATAAATAAACTTTGTTCTGCCTCATCCTTCATTTCCAGAGTTTTTTAAAGGTTATATTAGGGATTATGGAAATCTTGGTGATTTAAAAGCATTTTGTGATCTTAAACCAAGTTCTTCTGTTAATGTCCTGCTTTAATTTTTTTAGGGTGGGTGTTCTAAATACAGAAGAGCCCTTCAGTCTGAAATTTATACAGTAAATTCTCAGACTCATCTCTGGAGAATATTTTATGTAAACAGAGTACCTGGGGACTTTTCAGACATTCTCTAAGTCCATACAACCATATTTGTGAAAGCACTTTTGAAGCATTTTAAACTGATACAAGCTGATATAACTCAGATTCATTGATTTTAGCATTTCTAATATTTTGTTTTCCTTCTTAGCTCAGTATATTGGGGTGTTTCACATTGTGGAGGGAGGGGTGCTTAAATTGTTAAGGTGTTTTTAAAATCAAAACACGAACGAATCACCAGTGAGGTGTGCTTACCACACTGAGACTGGTTTGGACAAGACGAAAAAGCCCTACCCAGTCTGTAACTGGCCTACTATATTCCAAAAGTAAACTTTTCCATTTTCTCAGTGTGGGAGCCCTGACTAACTTAGTTGTGTGATGAAAGTATGCAGATGTACACTAGACCTTTCTTAATGCACTGTATTGACATAAGATAATAGTATATATTACTGATAGACAGAAGGTGGGTTCTGGAGTTTGACCTCCATTTGACTTCTGCGTCTGCCACTCACTGGGATCAGAGCAAGTAATTTAATCCCTGAGTTCTTGTTTATTGTCTATAAAATGGGAATAATAATACTTGCCTCAAACTGGGCATGGTGGCGCGTGCTTATAATTTTGGCTTCTTGGGAGGCTGAGGTGGGAGGATTGCTTGCACCCACAAAAAGAGACCCATCTCTAAAATACATAAGTAACACTTACCTCAGGCATTACTAAGCAGATTAAATTTGTATTAATATATTAATAAAATATATTAAAACCTAGACATTTTATTTGCAGTTGCAGCTCTGCTATTATTTTTTGATGATTGTTTTGGTTTTGCTGCTGTTGTTATTTATGGAATAAACTGAGTACCAGAATTTTTTCTAAGATTTAGGAAGCCATGCGATCAGTCAGAGGGAATGTGGTAATGGCAGTAGAATTTTAATTGTATGTTTACATGTTGGAATTTAGAATGCCTGTATGTTAGCTTATCACATGTGATTCTCTTTGTCAAATGAAGCAACAGATTTAGCCCCCAAACCTTGTTTTGAGAAGTGTGGGCAATGAAGGCATGGCAAAGAAACCTAGAAGTATAAAGATGCTGTTGGCTAGAGCAGGGAGAAGTATTAATGCATAAATTGCATTGAAAAGGTGAGATTTCTAATTGACTTTAAAAATATATATGATTATAAAGGCAGCATGCCTCTAGTCTGAAAGCTAAGGGTTTTACTATCAAATAACTGAATCTCAGCTTAACTGTGACTGTGAGTCTCTTTCAAGTCTTTCTTGTTGTTGTTGTTGAGACAGTCTTGCTCTGTCACCCAGGCTGGAGTACAGTGGCACGATCTCAGCTCACTGCAACCTCCGCCTCCCAGATTCCAGTGATTCTCCTGCCTCAGTCTCCTGGGTAGCTGGGATTACAGGCACATGCCACCACACCCAGCTAATTTTTGTATTTTTAGTGGAGACGGGAGTTTCATTTGTTGGCCAGGCTGGTCTCAAATTCCTGACCTCAGTTGATCTGCCCACCTTGGCCTCTCAAAGTGTTGGGATTACAGTTGTGAGCCACCATCCCGGACTCTTTCAAGTCTTATTTGGACATCTTCCATTTCATCACCTGAAGCAAGAATACTACTTTTAAGTTTATTAAGTAAAAGACCAAGTGATGCTACTGAGGGTTAAAACTGGCAGCTACTGTTATTATTCTGATTCTTCCTAACTTTCAATCATGTGTGTCTCGCTGATTTTATCTAAGAAGCCAAATGCTTTTGTAGCTAACAGATTGCCATGTTTAGGCACTTTCTGCTTCTCTCTGATTCAATCCTCCCACCTTTCCTGTTTGCCAGTCCTCGCTTCAGCGTAGTCGAGTAGGTGAGGATTTCCCCTCTAGGTCAGCTTCAACCTGCTCTGGGCCTGGAGAAGGAAACTTGGAAGAAAGTTGTAAACAGGTAGATTGAAAACTGTGTACTAATTTCAAACAGCACACTTCACTGTTTGCATTTTAGATTATTAATACCAGTTGCCCTTGTGAAGGCACTGGGAAGCTTTTGATAATGAAGGCACTGGGAAGCTTTTGATAAATCTAAAATTAATATTATACTATATGAGCGTGTGTATGTGTGCCTGTGTCAACCTTTGTGTTATGGTGTGTTTTATGATTAACTATCTTCTCAGTGATATAGCCATGTTTGTGTCGACTGCTACCATATTTTAATAGAATAGTAAAAAGGAGAGATAGTAGGCTGGAGCAGTGGCACACGCCTGTAGTCCCAGCTACTTGGGAGGCTGAGGCAGGAGGATTGCAGGAGTTCGGGTCTGCAGTGCACAGTGATCATGCCTGTGAATAGCCACTGTACTCCAGCCTGGGCAATATAGCGAGACCCCCATCTCTTGAAAAAAAAAAAAAAAAGGAGAGATGCTAAATGAGAAATGACTGAAGGTTTTGAAATAGTTTCTCTTTGGTGACTTTATGAAGCAATTTTTATTGAGAGTCTGAAGGGAGCAGTGAGTTGTTTAATAAATTGGAAAACTCTGCTTTTCCTCTCAAATTTCGTTTTCCCAAATTAATAACAACACTGAAGTGTTTGGCAAAGCTTTATTTTGATCTGATCTGCTAGGAAGAATTCCTTTCTGCTATAAGGTGTGCAACATTCAAGACAGTTGATGTCCCTGGGAGTTTTCTTCATATGGTAGCAGTGAGATATGAAGAACCTTTTACAAATCCCACCTCTCAAATTCCTCTATGAGGGTGTGTGTGAGAATCATTTCATTTTAAGTTGCCGTGTGATCCTTAAAATAAATTACCCTAGGGTTGCCCATTAGAAAAAGTCAGCAGTACTCTTGAGTTTTTCATCTGGCTGCCTAATGGTCTTGCCTCTTACGAAGACAACAGTTCAAATATGCAGACAAGAACAGTGGCGTACTCCGCTTTTTGAGTCACTAGTGAACATGAGCTATGCCCCAGGCTTTTTAAATGTATCTCTCCAGCCCAGTTCCATATCTGGAATTACTTGTTTAATGAGATCATATTGATGGTAATGATAAATATAACCCAGTTTTCTTCCTTGCTTGGATTCCATTTTAACTTCTCACTAATTCAGAGGGTCAGAGATAAAATATTTGAAAATAATAACAGTCTAATTCCTTGCAAAACTGTGATATAAAATCTTTTAAAAATTGGATACTTGGGCCGGGCACTATATGCCTATAATCCCAGCTACTCCAGAGACTGAGGCAGTAGGATTGCTTGGAGCACAGGAGTTCGAGCTGCAGAGCACTGTGATTGGACCTGTAGATAGCCACTGCACTCCAGCCTGGGCAATGAGACCTCTGCCTCTTTTCTTAGGAAAAAAATGTATATTTAAATGATACTTTCTACCAGTTTCTAGAACTTGGATCTTATTTTTAAAAGATTTTACTTTGGAAATACTTTAAGCTACTAAGTTTATAATTTGCATCATGAAAAGCCTCAAGTTAGCTTGTGACATTAGATAACATTCTGGGAAGAAATACTCTCTCTTAAATAAAGGCAGTGGCACATTTGACATAAAAAGCATACTATTCAAGAAGGTAATTATATGTTTTATAACCTTCAGATGCCATTTTCAGTCAACAAAATTTAAGTGCCAATATTTTTTAATTAAATTGATGACATTGATGTGTTTTTCCTGCTGCAATTCCAGCCTGCTGCTTTCTTTCTTCTTGTAGTGCATTATTTTTCTGCATGCATTGGTTTTTTCCTAACACCTAATACAATGTGTTTTAAAAATATGCAGGTTATTTTGCATGAGTTTTGGAAAAACTTGTTCTGTTATACAAATGTACATATCAAATTAACAGTACATTAAATTGTTGGTGAAGTAGATTCCTTCAGATAATTTGTTTAAAATGTTTCCAAAATGAAATGTAGAAAAACATATTTTAGTAAAATCAATAATAATGTTTTTTGCCCATGTCATAAAAATATTTTGGCCACTTATGATTTAATTTGGGTGGAAAAGGTATTGATGACTGTATTTGAAATTAAAGGGGGGGAAAAGTAATGTACTTTTGCCCAATGCTTTGATGAATGATTTCAAAATGTTAAAGTAATTTTTGATTATATTTTTAAATTCTTAATTCTTACTTTTGGTTAAATACCTTTGGGTTTTTGGATTTATTTTCCTTCTCCATGCACAAAATAGTAATTTTGTCCTAACTGGACGTATAATTAATTGTAGCATTGTAAAATCCTTGAACTATTTTGTGATTTTTATTTCCAAAAGATTCTCTCAGCAAGCACATTTTTTGTGTAATATTCTATGTCATGGAAAAAAATTCTGAATAATTACTGCAATGTTAAAAATTACGGTCTTTGGAAAGACTTTATGTTTGTAAAATCTTTATGGTTAAAAACGAAAAAGAAGTGATTATATTCACAGACAGTTTTCTGTGTCTTTTTCTTTCCCTTGATTCTTAGAAATTAATAAGAAATGCCAATTAGTATTTACTAAATTTTTTTTGGCTTGGCTTTTGTAAATGAAAACTATTATAATTAATTCCTCAGGCATTGTGCTTTAAGCTCAGATTGCCTGCTACTAAATCCATAGAAAGCACATCACTTACTAGAAGCCCGAGTCTCGTTGACTACTCTTACTGCTTTGCCTACCTTGCTACCACAGTCATTACAAGCAGGCTTGCAGTGTGTTGACTCAATTAATAAGCAAAAGTAGAACGTTTTCCAAAAGACAGAAGAGCATGTTTTTAATGTAGACTCCTTCAAAGTCCGGTTTGCTTCTCAGAAGTCTCTCTCCTTGGTTTATAGGTGTAAAAGTAGAAGTTTTTCTGAGGTATTTGTACTCGTTTTCTCATGTTTCTTAGTCAAGAGAAATGTGGCTTCTCAAGATAACCTAATGCAGCTTGTTTAAAAATATGTGCTCTCCAAGGTGCACTGAGATCCCTGTTCAGTTCTGAATTATTCAAGTGGGATCAATCTTAAACTTTTTAAACTTTTTAATTGTTTCATTTAGCTATTTACCAGCTTCCTTCCTAGTACCAGATAACAAAAGAAAAGTTCTAGGAATTTATTATTAGTGTGCTGTGGAATTCCAAGGCCAGGACATTAAAGTGAAGCCAGAGTTTATTTTCCAGATTGAAGTCAGACTAATGATTGATATTATTTTCTTCAGATGCTTCTTTGTTTTTGATGCCTAGAATGCCCTCTTATTAGTGATTTTACGTATAAAATATTTTTTAAAAACAACTTTTATCAACATTTTGATGAAGGACCTATTGTACGTTACATAGATTAATCATGGTTCCTTTTTCTAGGCAGCACAAATTGTGCTAATCTCTCTGTTTGAATTGAATACTCCTGAATTTACCATGTTACTTGGTGCCTTGCCAAAAACATTCCAGGATGGTGCCACCAAACTCCTGCACAACCACCTCAAGAATTCCAGTAACACCAGTGTGGTGAGTGCTTTGGTCACGGTTGGTGCCTCTGTGATGTCCATGACCTCTGCGGAGCTGTTACCTAGAACCTACTCTCATAGAGTACCCCATTTCCTTGTCCTCTTTCAGGAAATGCCGAGCATCCTGAGGACGGGGCCATCCTGAGCCCCGTAAATGAATGAATCTGATATTTAAGTATGGCCTTTTTTCTTAGGTTGTTCAGTCAGCTACATTTTCACTAGGCTATCCAATTAGTCATTCATTCACTGAGTTGGTCTTATTTTTCAACACTGGAAAGATGCAGATGCTCAATTTTGTCTGTCACTCTGGCACACCCAACATCAGTCATTCGACTCCAGGAGTGCCTGTATGATGATTATTCATTTTTGGTTTATATGCACTTAAAATTGGCCTTATGATTCTGAGGGGCGGGGGAACCATCCTGGGCAGATTCTACCCATTTATTTACATGTGGATTAAAAGACCAAGGAGAGAATAGAATAATATTCTATGTACAGCACTGGAATAATGATGCCTATTCTGCTTCACCCCAGGGCTCTCCAAGCAATACGATTGGCCGAACGCCCTCCCGACACACCAGCAGCAGGACCAGCCCCCTAACCTCACCCACCAACTGTTCCCATGGGGGTCTGTCTCCAAGGTAAGGTCACTTCTTTACTTTCCACAGGATTAAAGAAACTAAAGCACCTTAATTGCTGTGCAGCCTATTTCTAGATTTTTTAGACTAAGCTAAATAACAAAAAGAATATTGAGTATCAAGAACCATGGGTTCTAGTCTTCACTCAAGTTGTAACTGTATAATCTTCCGCAAAGGGGTTAACTTCTATGGTAAGATGAGTGGTGTGTGCTGAATGTTCTCTGGTTCTAGTAGCTCTAAACACTCACTGGTACCTAATAGTACCTACAACTGAAAGTTTACATTTAGTACTGTTTTGCATAGAATCCATGTAGAAGCTTATTACCTGTTCTGCAAGTGGTAGAACCTGAAGGTATTTAGTCATCCAAGCCAACTTGTTATAGTCAGTTACACCAAGTCTGGGGTAGTTTTTTAACCCAAGTAGTCATTCTAAACATAGTTGCTGTCATGTTTGAAGCAGAATGCTGCTCTGAAGGACTGTGATTTAGAATCTGAGAACTAAAATTGGGTCTACATTTCATACTCTTATTGGGACCATGCAAATATTGGCCCTATAGAAGCTGAGGCAGTGACTTAAAAAGAGAACCTGCTTTGTCGGGATCTTTAGTAATACTTCACCATCTGACCAGAGCCTTTAGAAGTCTGTGTGGTGGCTTTAGTGACCCCCTCACATGGGCTGGGAGTGACCCATGGCCCCACTCAAAGTAGTTGCCCTACAGGCCAGAATTTTGATGAAAGAGCCAGTGTCTGGACCAGCAAGGGGCACACATGCTCTGTCTAAGGATTAACTCTTTGGGATCACTAACAATACAAACCAGTAAGCTTTTGTCCTGAAGGCTGCTGGCACCGAGATCTGAAAATGAAATGACAGTATGACAAGTATGCTGTTTTCCCTTTAATGGGACCTTGTTACTAGGACGATATCAAAACATAATTGCTTTTACATTTAGTTTTTTAAATGATCAAGAGTCTCCCACACTTCTTCCTTATCACTCTAGATTTCCAGTTCCTCATATCCTTTAAATACTTTGGAACATAAGAAATGTGTATTTTCCTCTTGGTGAAACCAAGTATTTTCTGTAGCTGTCTTATCTTGCTGTTTAGATTGCCCTTATGTTTGCTGCCCCAAATGTCTCTCTGCACTATATTTAGGTAGATGGCAATGTGATATTTTGTCTCCAGATTTGGTCTGTATTGTCATGGCTTCAACAGGCTGTTACAATTAAAAAATTGAGACCAGAGACTAATGAAAATATGCTTGACTTTCCCCAGGTGTGACTGAGGTTTAGCCTTTTTTTTTTTTTTTCCTTAATACTACCATGTATGTCTAAAGAATATGGTGGTACAGTGGTGACAGTAAAATCATAAAATTATCTTTCCTAGTGGAGAAACTTATATGCAAAACTTGAATTTTCTGTAAACTGTTGCCTCTGTCTAGAAGAGATAGTTACACAACATTAATTGGGAAGTCTTTTCTTCCATAACATACAGTTCATACGTCTTTTAGTTATTGCATTCTTAGGGTGGCACATTCTTTAGATAGTAAGTCAAAAGGTATAACTCATATTAAGCATTTTATTATTATTTGTGCTACCAATCTAAGTAAAAACTTGTTAATGCTGTTAGTATCATTCATCAGAGCTGAAACTGGCTAAGTCAAATCTCCATGGGTCCTCAAGTCATTAAAAATTTTGTTTTTCAAGGTCATTATCCCTTCTTAATTGGCCTCATCTTAGTTTTTGTTTATAGTTACAGATCAGTGGAAGAAACGAGATTTATTTTCAATATTCGGTAGTTCATGTGTGGTCTAAATATTTTCTTGTTATCAGATTCTTCTATAGGGAGTTATTTATGTAGTTTCTTTCATGGAAAAATACATTTTTTTAAACTTGCCATCATTCAGTGCATAGATAGCCAGATGGCCTCAGCCAACTCGAGCTTACGGAAGAAATAGTTTTTCTTGCAACTAAAACTGTCCGGCAGTGGGAAAAACTGCCTCATGTTATCATGTCACTAGAAATATTCAAATAGGCTACATATTTTCTAAAGGAAAATGATAAAAGAAATGGATTATTGCACTAAATAGAATTAAGTAGGTTACCTCATTTAAGGAGACTATAGAAAGGTAGACAGATCTGTTGTATATAATCTCAGCTATTTTTTCTGAGCATTGCTCTTAAATTGTTGATTTTCTGCAACCTGCCATTCCTTTGAGTTATCTTGACCAAACAGTGTTAGCCTTTTATTCTGTAGGGGAAAAGCTATTACCAATTATTTGTTTTCAGTCAAATTTATTTATTTATTTATTTGGAGACTGAGTCTCACTCTGTCACCCAGGCTGGAGTGCAGTGGCATGATCTCTGCTCACTGCAACCTCTGCCTTCTGAATTCAAGCAATTCTCATGTCTCAGCCTCTTGAGTAGCTGGGACTACAGGCATACACCACCACAGCAGGCTAATTTTTGTATTTTTAGTAGACGGAGTCTCGAACTCCTGACCCCAGGTTATCCACCCACCTCTGCTTCCCAATGTGCTGGAATTAAAGGCATGAGCCACCACACCTGGCCTGTTTTAAGTCTAATTTTAACTGTCAAAATGAACTTTTTTTAGTTCAAAATTTCTATACTTGGATCATGATGATAGTAAGAAACTATTCTAAAATGTTAAATCTGATAATTGTTTAAAAATATCACTAGCGGCTGGACATGGTGACTGATGCCTGTAATCGCAGCACTTTGGGAGGCCAGTGTGGGAGGACTGCTTCAGCCCAGGAGTTTGAAAGTAGCCTGGGCAACATAGTGAGATCCTGTCTCTACAAAGAATAAAAAATCAGCCGGACATGGTGCCACACACCTGGGAGGCTGAGGTGGGAGGATCACTTGAGCCCAGGACATGGAGGCTTCAGTGAGCTGCACTCTAGCCTGGACAACAGAATGAGACCCTGTCATATTTATTTATTTATAAATAATAAATACATATATAAAATATATATGTATATATCTCTCACCAGTGAGGAAGTCATTTTTTTTTTTTAATCAACCCAGTAGTAGTAGAGATGCTGTAGATAATAGGTTAAACTTTTGTAAAACATTCTGTTAGACATCATTTCTGTGTGAAAGAGTAAACTGCCTATATAAATATGTGAAGTACATATTTATATTTTACCTAATGTGATTTTAGGGTAAATGAAAAACTGAGTTGCAAGGGGCTTCAGAAATCATCTGAAGTCCATTTCCTTTAAGAGAAAAAAGTATATGGTGGTCCTTGCTCTGGTCTGCCATCTGTTCTTGGCAAACATGTCATAGAGCGGGATGACTCTGTAAATAGCATATGTGTCCCTAGCAATAGGAAGTCATTTTTAGTGGTCCTCTTGTGAGAGGATCCAGAGTATGGATAGAATCAAAGTGGGCTTAACAGGGAGACCCCGCCCCACACTCGGAGGTGGGTGTGTCTGCCCCTCCTTCCCCAAGCAGACGCCCAGCCGGAGGTGTCACCTGCATGCCTCCTGTGCCCTCACCTCCAACCCACTGTGTGTGTCTGACCCAGTGTGTGCCTCACATAGAGGCCAATGTGTCTTTAGGCCTCTGTAAGGCAGTGACTTCACATCTCCATGACTTATTTTCCTTATAAAGCAGAGCTATACCTGTGCTCAGGGAAGACTAGCATGCAGAGGCTCCCGCTGTGATGATGCCAGTGAATGCCAGTGGCAGGCAGGGCTGTTCTGTAGGTGCCCTGGCGCTGATGCCATGGACTCCACCCTGGCCTTCCCCCACATCACCATCCAGCCCAGCTTCCCACTTTCCCAGGCTTTCCCTCAATCCTTTTGAATTGCAGCAGTTGTTAGAACTCTCCTTCAGGGCCTCTGCAAGCCCAGGCACCCAGTGACATTTGCGAAGGGAAGATGAATACTTGTGTTCCCAGAAGAATTTCAGTTCTCATATTAGGTGATATGAGCAGAGAGGTTTGGTTTTTATTACCTGGTACTCTGAGCTGGCCAGCTGAGACTTAACACACTAGCCCTCTAGTGGTGCTACTCTTGTTTCAGAAGGAAACAGCTTGTGCTGTCTCTGAACACCATCCAACTGGATCACAGCCCCAGAGAATGCACTGCTCCACATTGGAGAGTTCTGGTCAGAGTAGCACGGTCTCTGAGTCCTCCTTCTGGAGTCCCTCTGGTCCTTTTTGAATTGAGGCCCCATGATTTTTATTTGGTTCTTTCTAAAATAACTGATGAGTTAACTGAAAGTGAACATCCATATTTTCTTGTGTATTGTGTTATGTCCTTCCCAGTGCATGCAGATACACACACCCCCTCATACTCCCACATACACACAGTCTCTCACATAGACACTCTTGGAATCTCATGTGATTTTAAGTAGTAAACACATTCCATGTGGGAGGGGAAAGAATAAACCAGTCTCATCAAGGACCAAATTGTAAAACAAAATTTGTTCTTTTCTCTGTATGATGAAGTGCTAATTTTGCTTTGATTAACTTTAATAGAACTTTGTCAAGGAAAGAAGAGACTAAGACACTTAGTGTGTAGTGCTTTCCTCCTCCCCTCCCCTTTGCTTTTTGTATTTCTCTCTGATTTTCCTCTTCTGATCACTGCAGTCGGTTATGGGGTTGGAGTGCCGACGGGTTAGCGAAGCACCCACCTCCCTTTTCTCAGCCTAACTCCATCCCCACCGCTCCCTCCCACAAGGCTCTCAGGCGCTCTTACTCTCCCAGGTAACAAGCTACCTGTCAAACTTGTCTGAGGTGTCACAATATTATTGCATTTCCAAGGTCGTCTCAGGTCTTTGGGAAAGCCTCTAAGCTGCCTCCAGTGTGGTCCCTTTCTTGGTGTCACATAGCAGGAGTAGAGCCTTGGTGAGAAGTGTGAGCAGCTGTGTGATCTTTGCCAAATCTCACAAGTACGGTTCCTGCTGTGTCACAGGGACAGATGACCCTTTATAACCTGATCAGATTCATCACCGCCCACTGTTGTGGGCCTTTCTGTGCAGTGCAGTGCTCAGCCCCCAGAAAGAGCTCAGGAAATGCTGTGAGGTCAGCGTGGGCAATAGTGGGAGCAGTTTCCTTAGCATGTGTCTAAAGTGCAGAAGGCATTCCCCTGAGAAGCCAGGAGACCTACTCTTTCCCAAACCACACCTCTCACTCTCAGCCATGCTATTGACTATATACAACTGATTTATTTCCTAATATACTGTCATATGAGGGTAGTCTGAGCACACACATCCAGAAAGGAATCCCCACGAGGCAGGATAACTGTTTTAGCTCACTAAGGATGCCCTGCCTCTAAGAAGGAGAACTGTCAGTCACCTCATGCACCCCCACAGTTGATGCCGAGTGCAGCATCATAGACACTGGTTATGCAACAGTTATTTATGAGTCTGGAAGACGGGTGGACTTCCTTCAGATGCTGACAGATGGTAAATCTGTGGTACAAAGAAGGGTCCACATAGTACTGCAGATGTCTATTTCAGGGTCTCTTGGGGATGCTTTTTATACGGTCCGAAGATCAGAGAATCTCTTCCCTAGAAACCTGTTAGAGCACCGGGCAGTCCAGCCGTCATTGTGCTTTGTGAGATGAGTTTCTACCCTCTATGATAGAGGGTGTGATAGGAAAAGGGTTAAAAAAACAAAAAACAAACAAAAAAAACGGTCTGTTACTTTTGAAATGCTTCATAGATAGCTTTTGCATAGATTTGTATTCTGCTTTTGTGGAATACAAATAATCTACATAGTGAAGCCAAAAACAGTAAATGAAATATTTTAACAACACCTTCCTTTTGAAGCTCTTATACCTCTAAAAGTCATTTCTAAAGTGTACAGAGAACCCTGCAATGAATGTTTCTAGATTCACAAGGTTAGGGCAAGCAGACGAGGAGACAGCTACTGTCTTTAATGTTAACAAAGCAGGTCACTCCTTTTTCTTTTTTTTTAAGGTTAGCTGTGCCTCCAAGTGTAAGATCAGTTTGTTGACTATCTCCCAGTATGTTGACCCGTATGCCCTCATGGGCACTCAGCTTCACTGCCAGCCACACATCAGGATTATCCCTCCAGAGCACATCCCATTCCTAGGATCATCTTTCACATATGTACACAATAATACGTGTTGACCTAACTCATTAAGAGAGAATGCTTACTAAATGCTTACAACTTCTGTTGCCCATTGGAGGCAGGGATAGTTGACTAGAGACTTTTACATTTAGAAAACCTATCAGTTACATAAAACTAAGAGGGAATCTATATGCCTGTTTCTTTGCTCTGTGCCGAAATCCTATTGATTCCATAACAAAGAATGACTATGCTTAATCTATACATTGTACCCTTTTCCTACAAAATGACAAAGAAGGCAGACTTCTCTCTCCAGTTTCTCTCTCTTGGAGACCTGACCCCATGCCCTCCTCCCTCCCCACGACATGAATCCTTCAGCGGGCATGCCCAGGCCGCATTCAGCTTCCATGTTGGGTGGCATGGCCTGACGTAAGCCTAACCTTAGGTCAGTGACTATTGACTGATTAAGGAATTCTCCCTAATCTAAAAAACCCTAAGAGAGCCCTTCTGGAGTCTAACCAGAGTATTTACAGGTGATCAGGGCCTGACCTCTAACCCAAGAATTATGTCCTGGGGTTGTCTCAGGGCTGAAACAAGACAGGCTGTGGGGCAGATGGCAGGCTGAGGTTTCCCCAGTTCTCTTCTCAGTCCACTTCTGAGGCCGTCCTGCAGCTCCCTCATATACTGCTTGTGAGGACATAATATCTACCCTCCTTGATAATGGCTTTCATGGGAAATTCCTTTTTCCTTTAAGTGAGAACTTAACAGATACTGATTTGGAAAACTACAAATCAAGCCAAAGCATAAAAATAGCAAAGAAAGTAGCATGGTCCATTTTCTCCTAGAGCCGAGCAGTTATGCCTGTCACCTGCAGCTCACTGTTTTAGCTTCATACCAAGGAGATACTTCAAACCTCAGGCTAGTGCGTCTAAAAGAAGACACCTTCAATTGTTCTTGGTTCTGCAAATGGTGCTCCTAAATTGGGAGTTTGAGTTGGTTTATTAATTCAAAGTGAGAAGGAGGAAATTACCTGGCAGAATCCTTTATTTTCTTATTCTAAAAAGAGGCTATTGTAATAGTGAAGTGATGTGATCTGAAATGAAATATTTTTAGGAAAGTTCAGGTTAAGAATAATGAGATGAATTATCTGAAAGCTGACATTATCTGAAGCGACATATGGAAAATAATATTGTGACATCCCTTAAAAAACTTGAACGTTCCGCCAGACTTCCTCTTGTCCATCCCATCGTTCTTTCAGTTTTTTGGATTTTTTTCTTTTGCATGGGCTATGCTGTTATTTTTGGTTGTTGTGATTAAAAGTATTTTAAGGCATTTTTTTTTTTTACATCTTGTATATATATTTTTTGTTTGAGTCATAATACTCAGTCTTTATATATAAAAAATAGTGTACTGGCCAGATGTATAAATGCCTTGTCTGTACATGAGCTAGTATTGTGGTGTCCTCAGAAGGAGGAAGGGAGCCTCTGGCCCCTCGGTCATGCCTTCCTCACGTCTAAGGAGTGTTGCCTCTTTGACAGACAGTCTTGTGAACATAGAAGAGGTTGAGATCTTAAATTCTGTTCAGATTTTTTATTCTACCTCCTATCAGTTGAGACATGGAATTTCAACAGCATACCTGTTCAAGGTTCACATTTCTTTTTGTTTGATGCTCAAGTCAATCTTCGAGTTGAAATTTTTTTGTTGTTGTTGTTTGGTTGGTTTTTTTGTGAACGCTCCAAATACAATTGGGTTATGTATTTTCTTTCATTCATCAGGAAAAGTGGGTTTTATCTGGGCCATATTTGCAATTCTAGACAAATAGCTCCCATCTTTGAGATTGTGGTCAGCTCTTGGGCTCTAGAACTTACCAGCACCAGCCCTAGAAAACACTTGGATCATTGCAACATCAAGCCAGTAGAGATCTGGCCACTCCAAGTGAGAGCTCTCCAAATCTTACCTTGCTCATCTGCCCAAACCTTTTTTTTTTTTCTTTTTTAGGGCAGAGTACTTAAGGAAGAGTACTTAGTAAATATTCATCATTTTTACATTACAGGAAACTCACTTTGGGGGAATGTATAGGATTGGTCGTGTAGGAAGGATACTTAGTTTCTTCAGTTACTACTCTCTTGAAGAACAGGAAGATTGCTTTTCTTTAGTTCTTAAACAATGTTGCATGCTTACTTATATACAGCCAAGGATTCTTTGCATGTCCCTAGCAATCCTCAGTATAGCTCAGGACTATTTTAAAAATTAAATTAGATGAATTCATCTGATCTTTTCTTGAAACGAGTGACATTGAAACTAAGGATTTTTTTTTTAACTTGCCCTTGGTTGACTGTTGCTTCATGTTTTGCTTGCTTTATGCTGATATATCCATCCCATGCTTTTAAAACTTTTCTATTCTCAGGATGGTTTTTATTCTCAGGATTCTCCCTGTTTCAGTGCACTTTCCAGACATCTAAAAGGCACTTGTTGACAAACTACAGTGCACCAAAAAGGATTGTTTGGCTTTTTTGCTTCATTTCATGTTTTGCTATGCCCAATGTCTATAAAGACAGCGGTCAATAACACTTTTCCATGAACAACAAATATTTCTTGCTTTTATGAGGATTCTTAGATGTCTATCCAGGAATGTGACTTTTTATAAAATCTGCTTTGGTTTAAAACTCCAAATAGAAGCATGTGGAAGAGTCAGGCTCCTGGGTGAGATGATGTGTGAGTTAGACTTTCTGGGCCCGTTTGTAGGGTGGATCTGACTTTGAGTCTAGGATTGTTTTGTTTTTTTTGTTTTTGTTTTTGTTTTTTTAATAGGGTTTTATTTGTTTTCTGGATTGGATACCTGGGAGTATAACCTTGTCTTGTGAGGTTATTTACTTTGCTCCTTTGAAATTTGCTTGTAGTACTAGCTTTATTTCCAACTGCCCATTCCTCTTAAGTTTGTACATTTGGGACCAGTAACAACCAAACTCCTTTTTTCCATCTTCAAAATAAGAAAGTTATTTTTCCACTTTCATTATCTCGTGCCTTCAGTCACCAGTGTCACTCTTTGAGTTGCTACATTCTCGTGGTTACTGTTGTTTCCCACTGATTTTTACTGAGTGCTGATGTAATGTGTTTGGCAGTTTTAACAAGGAAGATGTGTAATTGTCTGGTGGTGGTACTCTTAACAAAAGATGCCTCCTTTTCATTCCAAATCACCCGATAAACAAAACTATAAATATGTCTTATTCTTTAAATTATGGGAAGTAACTTATGCCCACATCTCAGTTCTATGTATATGCCTCAGTTTAAGAAATAAATTATTTTTTATCTTTAGCATGCTGGACTATGATACAGAGAACCTGAACTCTGAAGAAATCTATAGTTCTCTACGTGGAGTTACAGAAGCCATTGAAAAGTTTAGTTTTCGAAGCCAAGAAGATCTGAATGAGCCCATTAAACGAGATGGCAAAAAGGAATGTGATATTGTAAGTATGCCTAGGCTAAAAGAGAACTCTGTATCAGTTAAATGACAGATAATGAGACTTCTGAACACTGAACATCATGATTACTGAGCTTCATCATTATTTTTTTCCTGTAGTTAAAATAATGTTTTCCTTTTAGTTTTAGCTGGCATGTAATAATTGTACACATTTATGAGCTACAAAGTGATATTTTGATACATGTGTAGAATGTATAATAATCAAGGTAATTAGTACATCCATCACCTCATTTATCATTTCTTTATGTTGGGAACATTGAAAAATTCTCTCTTCTAGTGTGTTGGAAGTACACAATAAACTGTTGTTAACTGTATTTACCCTATAATACTATACAGCAGCAGTCCCCAAACTTTTTGGCACCAGAAACTGGTTTTGTGGAAGATAATTTTTCCACAGACTGGGCCACATGGTGGGAGGATGGTTTGGGGATGATTCAAGCACATTACATTTATTGTGTACTTTATTTCTGTTATTACTATATTGTAATATATAATGAAATAATTATACAACTCATTATGATATAGAATCAGTGGGAGCCCTGAGCTTGTTTTCCTGCAACTAGATGGCCCTATCTGGGGGTGATGGGAGACAGTGACAGATCATCAAGCATTAGACTCTCATAAGGAGCACGCAGTCTCGATCCCTTGCATGTGCAGTTCACAACAGAGTGGATGCTCCTGTGGGAATGTAATGCTGCCACTGATCTGACGGGAGGCAGAGCTCAGGCAGTCATGTGAGCGATGCGGTGGCTGTAAATAAGATGAAGCTTCACTCATTTGCCCACTGCTCACCTGCTGTGCTGCCCAGTTCCTAACAGGCCACAGACCAATACCAGTCTATGGCATGGGGGTTAGGGACTCCTGCTATAGAGGATTAGAACTTATTCCTCTTACCTAGCTGTAGTTTTGTAGCTATTAACCAGCCTCTTTTCCTCCTCCCCCACCCCCACCTTTCCCAGCGTCTAGTAACCACAGTTCTACTCTCTACTTCTATGAGCTCAACTCTTACTAGTTCCCATAAATGAGTGAGAATATATGATTTTGGTCTTAATGTACCTGACTTTTTTCACTTAACAGAATGTCCTCCAGTTCATGCATGTTGCTGTGAATGATAGGCTTTCATTTCTTTTTATGGCTGAATAGTATTCCATTGTGTATATATGTCATATTTTCTTTATGCATTCATTTGTTGAGGGACACTTAGGTTGATTCTGTATCTTGGCTGTTGTGAATAGTGCTATAACAAACATGAGGGTGTAGGCTTCTCTTTGATACACTGATTTCCTTTTCTTCGGATAAATTCCCAGTAGTGGAATTGTTGGTTGTACGTTAGTTCCATTTTTAGGTTTTTGAAAAACCACTGTTCTGTTTTCTATAATGGCTATACTAATATACATTCTCACTGATGGTATATAAGAACTTCATTTTCTCCACATCCTCACCTTTGTTATTTTTCATCTTTTTGATAATAACCATAAAATAGTAGTAAGAGGCCCAAGGTAATTAATTTTACAAAATTTCAATTTCAAAAGAGTAGCCCTCAGATATCTTTTCAAGGAATGTTAAGTGCCTTTTTTCTCAGTTTGCTTTTGTTTATTCTGGACATAGTTATGTTTCATGATGTAATAAAAATAGTGAGCCTGAACCAGACACCACTATGGCTTTCTGAGAGCTCCAGTCTCATGGGAGAGGCAGACAGATAAGCACAAGATCCTGGTGCAGTGAGTATGGCCACTGCTCAGCATCCAGGAGACCCGTGGCTAGTTGTGGTACCTAGGGAGGATGTTGTATTAGTCGGTTCTCACACTGCTATAAAGAACTACCAGAGGCCGGGTGCGGTGGCTCACACCTGTAATCCCAGCACTTTGGGAGGCTGAGGCAGGCAGATCACAAGGTCAGGAGATTGAGGCCAACATGGTGAAACCCCGTCTCTACTAAAAATACAAAAATTAGCTGGGCTTGGTGGCACACACCTGTAGTCCCAGCTACTCAGGAGGCTGAGGCAGGAGAATCACTTGAACCCGGGAGGCGGAGGTTGCAGTGAGCCGAGATCACGCCACTGCACTCCAGCCTGGCAACAGAGTGGACTCTGTCTCAAAAAAAAAGAAAACTACCAGAAACTAGGTAATTTAGAAAGAAAAGAGGTTTAATTGACTCACAGTTCCACAGGTTATACAGGAGTTGTGGCTGGGAAGGCCCCCGGAAACTTACAGTTGTGGTATAAGGGGAAGCAAGCATGTCTTCACATGGTGACAGGAGAGAGAGAGTGAAGAGAGAAGTGCTGTACAGTTTTAAACAACCAGATCTGGTGAGAACTCACTGTCACAAGAACAGCAAGGGGGAAGTCCACCCCCATGATCCAGTCACCTCCCACCAGGTCCCTCCCCCAACACTGGAAATCACAGTTTGACATGAGATATGGGTGGGGACACAGAGCCAAACCATATCATTCTACCCCTTGCCCCTCCCAGATCTCACGACCTCACATTTCAAAACACAGTCATGCCTTCCCAACAGTCCTCCAAAGTCTTAACTCATTCCCCCATTAACTCAAAAGTCCAAGTCCTAAGTCTAATCTGAGACAAAGCAAGTCCCTTCCAACTATGAACCTGTAAAATAAAAAACAAATTAGTGACTTCCAAGATACAATGGAGCTACAGGCATTAGGTAAATGCTCCCATTCCAAAAGGGAGAAATTGGCCAAAACAAAGGGACTACAGGCGCCATGCAAGTCTGAAACCCAGGAGGGCAGTCATTAAATCTTAAAGCTCCAGAATAATCTCCTTTGACTACATGTCTCACATCCAGGACACACTGATGCAAGGGGTAGGCTCCCAAGGCCTTGGGCAGCTCCACCCTTGTGGATCTGCAAGGTACAGCCCCTACAGCTGCTTTCATGGGCTGATGTTGAGAGCTGTTGGTGGATCTACCATTCTGGGATCTGGAGAACTGTGGCCCTCTTCTCACTGCTCCACTAGGCAGTGTCCCAGTGAGGACTCTGTGTGGGGGCTCCAACCCCACATTTCTCCTCTGCACTCCCCTAATAGAGGTTCTCCATGAGGGTTCTGCTCCTGCAGCAGACATTTGCCTGGACATCCAGGCATTTCCATACATTTTCTAAAATCTAGGTGGAGGCTCCCAAACCTCATTTCTTACCTTCTGCATACCCACAGGCCCAACACCACATGGAAGCCACCAAGGCTTGGGGTTTACACCCTCTGAAACAACAGCCCAACCTGTACTTTGGCCCCTTTCAGCCATAGCTGGGGCTGGAGCAGCTGGGATGCAGAGCACCATGTACCAAGGCTGCACAAAGCAGCAGGGCCCTGGGCCTGGCCCACAAAACCATTTTTCCCTCTTAGGTCTCCAGGTCTGTGATGGGAGGGACTGCCATGAAGGTCTCTGAAATGTCCTGGAGACGTTTACTCCATTGTCTTGGCTATTCACATTTGGCTTTTAATTACTTATGCAAATTTCTGCAGCCTTGAATTCTTTCCCAAAAATGAGTTTTTCTTTTCTGCTGCCTGGTTGGGCTGCAAATTTTCCAAACTTTTACCCTCTGCTTCCTTTTTAAATATAGGTTCTAGTTTCAGGTCATTTTTTTGTTTGTGCAAATGAGCAGAGGCTTTTAGAAGCAGCCAGGCCACATCTTGAACACTTTGCTGCTTAGAAATTTCTTCCACCAGATACCCTAAATCATCTCTCTCAACTTCAGAGTTCCACAGATCTCCAGAGCCAGGGGGACAGTGCTGCCAGTCTCTTTGCTAAAGCATATCAAGAGTGACCTTTACTCCAGTTTGTTATCTTCATCTGTGACCACCTCAGCCTGGACTTCACTATCCATATCACTATTAGCATTTTGGTCACAACCATTCAACAAGTCTCTAGGAAGTTTCAAACTTTTCTTTCATTTTCCTGTCTTCTTCTGATCTCTCCAAATTGTTTCAACCTCTGCCCATTACCCAGCTCCAAAGTTGCTTCCACATTTTCAGGCATCTTTATTGTAATACCCCACTTCTGGTACCAGTTTTCTATATTAGTTAGTTCTCACACTGCTATAAAGAACTACCTAACACTGGGCAATTTATAAAGAAAAGAGGTTTAATTAACTCACAGTTCTACAGAGTATACTGGAGGCATGGCTGGGGAGGCCTCAGGAAACTTACAGTCATGGCAGGAAGGCAAAGGGGAAGCAGGTAGGTCTTCACATGGTGGCAGGAGAGAGCGAGGGAAGGAGGAAGTGCTACACACTTCTAAACAGCGAGGTCTTATGAGAATTCACTCACTATCATGAGAACAGCAAGGGGGAATTCCGCCCCCATGATCCAATTACCTCCCACCAGGTTCCTCATCGAATATTGGAAATTGCAATTTGACATAAGGTTTGGGTGGGAACACAGAGCCAAACCATATCAGATGTGCAAAAGAGAGGATGTCGTCACCTCTGAACTGTAGCCTGGAGGTCCAGAGGAGTTTGTCAGGTTGAGTAGGAGGGTTGTAGTCAGAGGAGGGCCTGTTTGAAGACTAAGACATGGCCGTGGGCATGGTGTGATTTCCTGTTCGAAGTGGATGAAGTGGAGAAGACTGGGCATAAGGAGTGGTTGGGGAGATTCAGAGCAGAGCTGCAGAATCTCCCCATGAGCTCACACCTGTAATCCCAGCACTTTGGGAGGCAGAGGCAGGCAGATCACAAGGTCAGGAGATTGAGGCCATCCTGGCCAACATGGTGAAACCCCATCTCTACTAAAAATACAAAATTTAGCTGGGCTTGGTGGCGCACACCTGTAGTGCCAGCTACTCAGGAGGCTGAGGCAGGTGCTCACTGGGGTATTCCCAACCAATGCTCTGACTTTACCCTGGTGATATTAGAGTCATTGAAGGATCTTTAAGCAGCGAAGTGGCATAGTCATACTTATATTTTAGACAGGCTACTGTTAACTTTGGAATGGAGAATAATTCAGGAGGAAGTGGGGTTGAATAGGGCATGAGCAGAAACAAGAATCAGAAATCTTCTGGGGCTATTGAGCAAATGCTAGTGCAATTCAGTGAAATATTACTCTAGAAGGAGATGCTGTCTTTGAAATACAATGCTCTTTTGAATACATGCAAATTGCAGAAATTGTGTAATATCTAAGCAAATATATCCATCAGGACTTTGGATATACGAGTCTGTTTCAGCCAGTGATTTAGGCTGAAGTTCGATATTTGAGAGATATTGATTAGTTGCTTGAACATAACTAAAGAAAAGTGAGTAAGTGAAATCACCAGGTAAAGGATAAGGACAGAATCCTAAGGAGCATCAACACTAAGGGAAGGACAGAAGCTAGAGCTGACAGGAGGGAGACCAGGAGAAGGTAGTGGCATAGAAGATAAGGGAGACTATTTCAGGAAGGACATTCTAGCCAAAGGGGCCATGCTGCAAAGAGATAACGGGTCACATATGAAATGAAAGGGCTCCATTGGATTATTTGTTTATTATCCACATTAAATGTTCTATTTTAACCTAAAAGACATAAAATACACATTTACTTGCCAACGTTTTGATGTAAAGTTAAGACCTTTCCTTTGAGAATGGACTCACTGGACTTCCATGTTTTTTCTTCTTAAATAAACTTTACACGTAGTTATAGTCTGCAATATCCAAATTTAGTTTCTTCCAGGAGTACATTGGCTCTTGTGAGCATAGTTGAGTGCAGGGTTGAGAATGGAAACCAGATCACAGTGGATGAAGACATTGAGGAACAAACTGGAGAGAAATGAGGATCACAGGGCATTTCAGATGGGAAAGATCTCTCCTAGCAGGGCCAGTGGAGAGAAGCACCTTGCCTACACAGTGGAGGGGAGCAGATGATTGGATGCGGATCCTTCCGGATGTGGGGACCTGAGGTTAGGGCCCAGGTGGAATGACTGGTCTTAGCTAGGGAGGATGGCAGCTTTAGGGGCTTGAAGCAGGAAGTAGAGCGTCTTCCCACTGCTGGTTTCCCAGGGCAGTGGAAGGAGGCCTGCTTTGAAGCGGGGGACTTGTTGTGAGGAGTGTGAGGAATGGGGCAATCTGACTAGGGAAACAGAACTCCTACCAAGAACAGTAGAAAAGGTGGATGCGTGAGGGGTTACTTTTTCCAGTTATGGTGGCTCACACCTGCAATCCCAGCACTTTGAGAGGCCGAGGCGGGTGGATCACCTGAGGTCAGGAGTTCAAGACCATCCTGACCAACGTGGTGAAACCCCGTCTCTACTAAATACAAAAAATTAGCCAGTTGTGGTGGCACATGCCTGTAATCCCAGCTCCTTGGGAGGCTGAGGCAGGGCATTGCTTGAACCTAGAAGGCGGAGGTTGCAGTGAGCCAAGATTGCACCATTTGCACTCCAGCCTGAGCAATAAGAGCGAAACTCTGTCTCAAAAAAAAAAAAAAAGAAAGAAAATCGAAGAATGAAGGAGCTTCAAAATTGACTTAGCCACCACTTACCATATTTTTAGCTAAAACATTGAGGTGAATATAAAACTGTGTTAAATGTGAAAGACTCGGGAGCCAGTACATCTCCTCTTAAGCCTAACAAGGAAACCAAATCTAGGGAGACAAGCCATAGGATGAATGTCAGATGCAGTAGGAGGGTGGTGCACACAGCAAAAATGAAGACATTCAACATAGGGAGAAAGCCCATCCTTATGGTCACTTACAGAAATACAGCAGACTTATATCAAGGTTCCCTTCTGCTCTGCTTTAATAGAAATTATAACATTTAATACTAGAAAGAGTATAAGGATCTAGTGTAATGTTGGTGCCATGGGAAATTGATACAATGTTTTGGAACTCAGCAAAATTATATTTAGCAAAAGTGATTTGCATATTCTTTACCCAGTATGGTTAGTCTACACTAAAGAAAGAACTCAACAGAAGAAAAAAAATATATATGTCATTTCCATAAGGTAGCTTATTTCAGCATTATCTACAGTAGCAAAAATATTAAAGGGGAACATCTGAGTAAATCTTTTTAAAACCCAAGTAGAGGTAGTGGTGTGATTAAACATGGTGGTTACAAAAACTTCATCCACGTGGGAAATGCTTGCACTGTAAGGAAAAAAAAACAGAAGGCAGCGTGCACACGGGATTCCTGCTGCGCAAAGCCCGCGTGGAGACACACACTGAGGTAGTAAGGTTTTGTTGTTAACAGTGATTAGAATTGGCAGTTGAGCTTTATTTTTAAAATGTCTGAAGTTTTTAAAACCCTTCTCTTTTTTTGTTGTTTTTTTTAAACCTCCTGTTCAATGGCTTACCTTTTTCTTTTATAAATAATTTTTCATTATAATAGTAGTATTTTTAGAAGACTTATAAAAAGAAGCAATTAAAACCATCCATGAATTTTCTTCCACCCAGAGAAAACCTCTGTTAAGATTTGATTTATACCTTTTTAGTCTTAATTTGTTTCTGTCTATGCATATATTATGAATTCTTTTTACATCTTAATTAATATAAAATTTTGTTTGTGGGTGTTAAAAACCAAATGCATCCTAGCACCTCCACTAGATTCAAGTCCAAAAGAATTGAAAGCAGGGACCTGAACAGATATTTGTGCACCATTGTGTCGTAGCAGCATTATTCACAAGAGCCAAAAGGCGGAAGCAACCCAAGTGCCCATCAGCAGATGAACAGATAAACAGAATGTGGTATATACACACAGTGGGATGTGCTCAGCAATTCCACTTACCTGAGGTACCTAGCATAGGCAACCTCCGAGAGACAAAGTAAAATAAAGGTTATCAGGGGTTGTGGGGAAGGGAGAGGGATGAGGATGCAGGGTTTTTGTTGGCGATGATGAGAAAGTTTTGGGTATACATAGTGGTGATGGTTACACATCATAAATGTATTTAATGACACTGAATTATATACTTAGGAATGATTAAAATGATATGTTACATCTACTTTTCTTTTACAACCAGAAAAAAAGTGTAAATGTATTAGCACAAGTTGAGAGAAATGTATCCTGTCATCAGCACAAGTAAAAATTTTGCCATAGGTGTCACCGACGTGTTCTGGCTGCCTGGAATGTTTCCACCATTGTTGGATAGTCAGTTGTCTGGGATGAGGAAAACAGTCTGGCCCTGTTGCCAGCACCAGCCCACACCTGCTGGGCTACACTGCCACCTGCAAAGGGGCTAGACCAGTGGTGTGCCCCATATGAGAGGACCCTAAGAGTAAAAGTGGTTTGCTCTTGTCAGTACCATGGCAAGGGGCCAGTCAGAGGGCCAGCGGTTGAATTTGTTGAAGACAACATTCAGAATATATTAGCAAAGAAAAACAAAATTTGGAAGATACTAAAGACGTGTTCTTTGACCCAGCATAACAACTCTGAGTCAGAAATATCTAAAAGAAGGATGATATGCCTAGGAGGTGCTGAGTTCTCTGTCACAGGAGATTGTGACACATTGAGGCCCAGCACTAGGCAGGAATACATAGAGTACAAGGAATTAATTTGGGGATGGATGACACCCATTAGACTTAATGATGGCGGTTGGAAGAGCTTCTGTCTGTGGATGTGGGCAGGGCTGCAGTGCAAATCCCCCATTGCTGATCTGGTCCTTGAGAGCAGGGATGTGAATGGACAGCCTTTCCTTCCTCAGGAAACGTCTTGGTAAAGTGAATCACCAAATTACAAAGTAAAGGAGATTTGAAGTGTAAAGACTAGATGCAAATGCAGGCATATTGTTCCTTTTATGGTAGTTTATGGATTTGGTATTTTTACACTGCAATACTAATAGCTGTCCTTTTATCACTGGCCATACATAGTTCAAGTGAAAATCTCTGGCCCTCTTAATATTTCTGAGCATTCAAAGGAAATGTCCATTACAAGTCCCAGAAGGGAACTGACAGTGTGCTGTGCTCCAGGTGTCCCGCGATGGGGGTGCTGCCTCCCCTGCCACCAGCGAGGTAGAAGGAGGCCGGACAGCTCTGGATAACAAGACCTCGCTACTCAACACCCAGCCTCCGCGCGCCTTCCCAGGACCACGGGCACGAGACTACAACCCGTACCCCTACTCAGATGCCATCAACACCTATGACAAGACTGCCCTGAAAGAGGCTGTGTTCGATGACGACATGGAGCAGCTTCGAGATGGTTGGTGTCTCTTTGCTTAACTGTCCCCACCCAGAAGTACTTCCCTTGTGCTCCCTCCTGTCTGGCCAGTACCAGGCCCACTGGTCAGATGTAAATGGAGACGCTGGGTCTGTTCTTTCTGCTTAGTCATTTGTTCAGGCACTACTTACTGAATCCCTACTGTGTGCTTAGGCACGGGGAACACGGCAGTGAACAGAAGCACAAGTGGCAGGGCAGTGAGGAAATAAACAGTCACACATGATATGAAGTAGCCACTGCCACAGCTGAGCGTGAGGGAAGGCCAACTCTACCATCAGGGAGGCTCTGCTGCAGAACCCAGGGCCCAGGCAAGCCAGTGGCGTAGGAACAAACAGGATGGCAAGCACAGGCTCAGCCTTTGTGAAGGCCTTGGACCTGCGCTTCCCAGCTCCCCGAGCTGTGGAGTGAGATCCCGAAGCACCGCTCCGAGGCTTCCCTCTCCTCTCACACCTGCTTTGTAACCAGGTCTTCCTGGAGCTGTGTTGACCTCCGTGCTGCATTTGGGAGGCAGGGGTTTGACATACACTGACCACTTGCATTACCGTGTGTGGTGCTAAGCTAAGCGTGGGGTCAGAAAGATTTGCCCAAAATGTAACATAAGCACATAACATAGCAAGTAGGGAGCAGAGGCAGAGCTAGTCTGGTTTCTTTCTGGCTCCTGTGTTAAGACCAGTGTCCATTATTGAATAAACTAGTGAGTGATGAGTATGTATTTGTACGACGGTATTTTTATCCAAAACGTAATTATTTGTTTTTTCATCTCTCATGTTACGTGATTTGGTTTATTTCAATTTGATAGTGCTTTTAAAAAATTATGGTTTTGAAGCCTGTTTATTTCTCAAGCTTGAATGAGTAATTAGAACCTACATTAGAATTCTAAATAGTTAAAATTCACTAAGGGCCTACTGTGTGTCATGAAGTGTATGGGTTGCCAGGGACTGAGGCACAGGAGACACAGTCCCTGGCCTCAGAGAGCTCACGGTCTGTCAGGGAAGTAGACTGATAGTGGTCACACTAGTACCAGAGAAGGCCTGTGCTGGAGGCAGATGCCAGGTCCAGTGGGGGCCCAAAGAAAAGAAAGCTGATCCTCTTGCAGGGATCAGATAGTAGGGGAATGCTAAGATAGAAGAGAAGTTCTCTGTTTGAAAGCAGAAGTTGCTGTAGGGATGAAAAGCCGAATCACTTGGCTATTAAGTGCTTATGGGCTGATGGGTAGCATCTCAGACTCTGCCCACACATCTGTTTACGGGCAGTGAGCAAATAGGGTATAGTGTTTGTAAGGACTGGCACTTCCTGGGAGAAGTGGACTATTTGTTTTCATTGCTTATAGAATTGTTTACCTTACCCTTTATAGATCTCGATTAAGGTCTAAATTACAATGTTGATTATTCACCAACTGTTTACTAAAAGGCTTAAAGAAAAGGAGAAAAAGGTAGGAAGGCAGGAGGAAATGACAGAGTTCTTTACCATTTCAGGCTTTCTTGTGTGTTTGCTACCCCATCTTAGAAGCTAAAGAAGTATGCAAATACACATTTAAGTAGTTCCTAATAACTTGTCTGATTTGTTTGTTTTTTCATCCTCTCTATTTAAAGTTGAATATTCAGAGTTGAGGTTTCTTAAAAGAACATGGAGGAGAAAGGATGTGCCTTTCTGCCATAGAAACCGTGTTCACAGCCCTGCAGGTAACTATGTTGAGTCATCTTGGGCCAGTTTTTAGTCTCCACATAGATAGTCCACCAGTAGTCCAAACACCTTGATTGGTATTTGTTCACCATGCTGGTTCCTAAGCTATAGACATTTGAGAAGGGAATGGATGATAATCGGATGTGTTGGTGAGGAGGCCTTGAGGAAAATGTGTATATGGGAGTGGATTTGACCCTGGTAAAAGGGCCGGGGCTGACTCAGGACCATGGCAGTGGGAGAGAGTTTCGGAAAATAAGAGGGTTGAAAAGGGACTTTGGCGGATGCAGGCATTTCTCCTCTCTGTCTGAAGTAGAAGGGAAAAGATAGCAAGGAAGGGTGAAGGACATTGACTGTTGGTACTGGACAGCTGGTCTCGCACCTCTGCTTTGACAGTGAACTTGGTGAGAAGGTTGGTAGAGGGTGTGGTGAGACGGTTGGTGGAGGGTGTGTAGGCTGAGGCTGGACAGTGAAGCAGGGTGGAGGGTGGGAGGGGAACCATGAAGGAGGTGTCGCCTCTGGGAGATGAGGTAGGAAGGGAAGGATCACTGGGCACCACTGAGGAAGCCCCTGTGCCGGGCATTTCCTCACGAGGTGACGTATGTGTGGTGTGTTTCACCAGTGCCCATCGACCATTCTGACCTGGTGGCTGACCTTCTGAAAGAGCTGTCCAACCACAACGAGCGAGTGGAGGAACGGAAGGGAGCCCTGCTGGAGCTGCTCAAGATCACGCGGGAGGACAGCCTTGGTGTCTGGGAGGAGCACTTCAAGACCATTCTGCTCCTGCTGCTGGAGACCCTCGGAGACAAAGATGTGAGATGCTGGTTTGGCCTTACCTTGCCCCTTTCCGTGTAATGGGGTCACGATGTCCTTTTCTTGCTGGGCTTGGCTTCAGCTTTACTTTCTGGGTTGTGCTTACTGTTTACATCAAAACATTTATTTGTTCATTTTTCACATATTTTCTGAGCACGTTTAGTAAGGTCATGTTTTTATCAGCAACAAGCTGCTGCTTGGCTTACGTGCATGGTCTGCAACTGGGTTTATAGTAGCTGAGGGAACCTCATTCCTGCATCTAGTTGCTTTAACACAGAATTTCTTAAAACTTCATTAGCATAGAATGTGGTCTTTTAGGACGCACTTTTTCACTTGTGAGTTTCATTTTTGTTTCATATGTAATTGAGAAATAAAAAGGTCCATTTTAAAAGACCTAATTCAATGCTACATTCCAAGAAATTCCATCTTGGTTCCCCCCTACATATGTTAAGAGTTCCAATAATTTTAATCAGTCAAGTGGCAGGTTCCAGAAGCATGATTCTGATTTTTGTATTATTAATTTTAAAATAAAAAAGCTTCATTATGCTGGGACATTTGAATGTGACAAACTAGGCATTTGTGACATGCCTGGTCTGTGATCTGCACATCGCACATAGAGAACTCTTAAAAGGGGGAGTAATCTGGTCAAAGTCCTGTCTTCTCCCACCTGTGGAGCTGGTCCCTTATATGGAAACAGGAATAGATGCTGGAAATTACCAGAATTAAACCTCTACAAGAAAAACTTTCTCCATCCACATTGGCTTTGTGTAGGCCAGCAGAAATGAGAAGAGAGTGCTGTGGTGAGGGGCTGGAGGAGGGGGATGGGAGGATTGCCAGGAGGTGACAGGCCATGCCCACGGCCAGCTAGAGGGGACTTGCATGGCCACCGAGTGACAGGGAGGCTGCTGCGTGCCATGCTGTGGAGACTCAGATAGCTTTCTGATGCTTCGGATTAATGGTTTGGTTTAGGGATAAGTAAAGATAGAAGAATGGTAATAAGTAATCTGTTTCACTTTTTTTAAAAAAAACTTTTTAAAAATACTTTTTAAAAAAGACAAAGTATTGGCTCGTAAGGCAGTTATGCCTTGTTGGCTCTCTTGGGAGACAAAGTGATGTCATGTAGAAGACAGGTAAAATGGTGTATTAGTGTGTGAATTGTACAGATGAGTGACAAAGAATCAGGATGTACTTTCTGGCTGTGTTTGGTGTAAACGCCATTCTCTTTTCTTGAGATTAGGAGTCTGTTTGGAATGGCTTTCCTCCAGATGCATGACTCTGGCCTTAACCAACTTGAGGCCTCTACACACCCAGTGATCTCATCACATGGAAGGTCAGGAATAATGACAGGCCTTCCACTGTCCTTAGGTGGAGTTCAGTCTTACAGGCTGTGTTGATGAAACATCCAGGTGCTTTGTACACATTCTTTCATACATTTTACAGAAGCGTAATTTGTAGGCTGAAGCTTCAGGAAATCTGAAAATCCCCAGAAAACTGATAATGAACTTAGGTGTATCATCCTCATTTGGTCTCGAGTGCACGGCTTGTTCGAGAAGCTTTTTTCAGTGCCTGTCAGGCACCGGGTCCTGGGAATGTCACCCTAAGGCACAGTGCCTGCCTTCATGGAGCTGATGTCTAGAGAGCCAGTGTCCAGTAAAGCTGATTTCAAGTAAACCATGTGATCTGTGTAGAGGGTTCTGCAAGGTTCCGGGGAACCCAGAACTGGGTGCTTGGCCTTGCCAAACCTGCTGACTGCCGTGTGTGAAAGTGCGGTGTGGTGTTTGGTGATATCTTCCTTTCCCCTTGTACTCTAGCATTCAATTCGAGCACTGGCGTTGAGAGTTTTGAGGGAAATTCTGAGAAATCAACCAGCAAGATTTAAAAACTACGCCGAGCTGACAATTATGAAGACTCTGGAAGCCCACAAAGACTCCCATAAGGAGGTGAGTCAGTCACGTGGCCAGGGGTGCTGAACAGGCGGGTCGTGGGGAGCGGCTGGGGTGTGGAGATAGAGGAATCAGAATCAGCCCACGGCTTAAGAGCCCCTTCCTTGGATCTCGGCCATTGCTGGAGTGGAGTCCCCATTGCTGTTGTCCTTGTTGAGCAGTGGCGCAGTTCCAGGGCCAGTGCCATTTGTTCAGTTCCCAGCTCCTTCTCGCTGTTTGCAACAGGCCTGCCCTGTCCCTGAGATGTGTTCCATGCCTGGGCTTCCGGCTGCCTTTGTGGGAGGGAAGGGTCTGCTGCTGCTTTCTGGCATTTAACCTCTAGTGGTCTGGTGTGGGAGGTGGAGACCAGCTTTGGAATCACAGACATGCAAGTCCCAGAACCAATGCCTCGTTGCTCCAAATATGTGGACCAGTCATTTCACCTTCTGAGCCTCCGTTTCCTTGTGTGTAAAACAGGAATGGATATTTCCACAGAGTGTTTCATGAGAATTCAATGAGACGGCCAGGGGTGGTTCCAGCCCAGCTCCTGCCAACAGCGGGTAGCACGCTGCCGTACTGACCTTCCTCCCTGCCGGCGTTCAGTGTGCTTCTCTCTGCAAGATGAGGCTGAGTGGAGGCAGCCCTGCTGTGCCCCTTCCACTCGCTGTTGAGTATTTAAAATGCTAGCAAGCCATCTCTGCAGTTTCTGGCATTGGGACGTCAGCTGCCTGGTAGCGAGCGGCAGAACATGTGTCTGTATCCTGCACACGTGCCATGGAGGGTGCACACTCAGCAGAAACTCAGCCTGTTACTTACTGGATTGTCCAACCGCTGTGCCTCACCAGGCTTTCAAGTAGCTAGAAGCCTGCAGAGAATGGGGAGGTGGCTGGAGCTGTCCTGATACAAATGATTCAGTGACCCCCTTCAGTAAAATGAACTGTGGGAAACAAAATCGTATATTGGAACTTTAGAAAACAGCCTGCCAGATAATGGGTTTGACCCCAAAGTGAGACATAACTACTTACCCGGTTTGATCTCTTGGCTCATGTGTGACTGTCATGTGAGCATGCTCATGGATTAAGGGAATTGTAATTAACACAATTCTTCCATCTACATAGAGAGACCCTAGATCGTAGTTCTGTTTGGCATTTGTGTGGCTGCTTGAGCAGTGACTGATGTGACCTCTTCAAATCTCCACCACAATTGTAGCTCAGCAAGGGCGAGGGTCTTGTCCTCAGACTGGGCCTCTCTCCACCTGCTAGTCCTAGAAAACAGCACACAGTACACAGGGGATGGATGTGTTTTCAGACTAATAACTGGGTTTCCAAAATCTGGCTTGGTTGCATGATGGCGATAATCACTCACATTTGAACAAAGCACTTTTCATTTATAATAACTCATTTAAAAAACGTGAAGACCAGGTGAGCTGGTACGATCAATATAGTGATTCCCAGGTGAGGAGGGAAGGTCCTAGAGTATGGGGGTCCAATCTTTTGGCTTCCCTGGGCCGCATTGGAAGAATTGTCTTAGGCCACACATAAAATGCACTAATGATAGATGATGAGCCTTAAAAAAAAAAATCACAAAACATTTTCATAATGTTTTAAGAAAGTTTTTGGATTTGTATTGGGCTGCATTCAAAGCCATCCTGGGCCACGGGTTGGACAAGCTTGTCCTAGAGGAACTGTATGCACAGCAGTTACTGGCAGAACTGAGATATAGCTAGGTTTTTTGTCTCCTTTAAGGGGCAGCTGGCATTTGCTAACTTTTTAAAACCGTAATTGCTTCTCCTTCATGAGAATGCATGATCAAAAAATGAAATTAAAATGTTCTTTTTGTTTTGCTTTGTTTTTGAGACAGGGTCTTGCTCTATCACCCAGGCTGGAGTGCAGTGGCACAAGCTGTGCTCACTGTAACCTCCACCTCCCAGGCTGAAGCAGTCCTCCTGCCCAAGCCCCCCGCGTAGCTGGGACTACAGGCATGAGCTACCACACCCGGCCTGATGTTCTTTTACATAGAGATGATATCAGTTGTTTTCATGGGGCAGTACATACTTAGACTTGGGCATTTAAATGAAACGCCAGGCCGTCCATGGTGTCTTGGCACGCACTTACTGACTCTCCAGTTGGAAGATACCTATCTAAAGTGAGTCCTAAGAAGTATAAGTTAACAACATTAAGTAATTGATTTGTTATTTGCTGTTTTCTTGGAAGATCTCTTGTTTTTTCTGCAAAATTAGAAATTTAGGAGAGAAAATTCTCAGGTATGAGTCCCTTTAAATTGACCAAGGGAAAAGAGCAGAATATGTGTCCTGCTTAACATAAACTTAGCAGCACTCAGGTTCAGGGGCCTCCATGCCGCCGTTACTGACTTGTGGTAGAGCCAGTGGAGGAGATGTGTTGGGAACGGCGCCTGCATTGGCAGGCCTTCCTGCTTTGCATAGTTTGACTCACCTTGACTCATTGCCCTTGGAGTTTCCTTATAAAACTTGACTCTGTCACTTTGCCAGGAGCCAATGTAATAACTCAAGAACCTGTATATTTAGGTTTGGGGTTGGGTTTTCCTTTTTCGTTCCTTTTTGTTCTTTTCCCTTGAAGTTCTTCTTAGCTTCCTCTTATTTTAACCAATCTTTTCCCATTCCTTCTTGCTGTTTTTTTAGGGCAGAAGGCTGAGATGCGCATAAAGTTTGTGTTGTAGGCATCTTGTTGGCATATTAATATGGCACATAATTGTTCTCTAGTCCTTCCATTTTCTCATCATTGTATTCAATTCTTACGACTCCAAACATTTACTGAAAAGGATCTGAAGGCATACAAAGACATAGTCTATTTTCCCATCTTATTAATACTTCCAAAGTATGTTTATCCCAGAGTGAGCTTTCTTGGAGCTTCCTTCTCAATAAGAAGCTAGTTGGTTTTACATTCCCAGACAAAAACTGGGCTTCAGCAGGAAATGAAGAACAGAAAGACTCGGCAGGTTAACATGGGGCTGCTTGTAGAGACACTGGCACCAGCTGCCCTGCTCTTGCCAGCGTGATGTTACCACACTGACTGTGTGACTGCAGTGAGGAAGGACAGCTTCTTGAAATACAATTTCTGTAAACTGAAATTTGTCACAAAAACTATTTGGGAGGATGGATGAGGTAGGACTGATGATAAGATGGCTTGTTTTCTCATGTAAGCAATCGTCTGCTTTCTCAGTTTCTTTTGAAAGGAGCTGTATGTGCAGAATGTGTTTCTTACACACTGAAAATGTGCCAAGTATCAAATCTGTCTCAGACACCATTCATCCAAAGCTAACATACATGTTCTGTAGTAGTAAGCAAGATAGATGAAGGATTTGGACACCGATTTAGAGTGTTTATTTTAAAAGTTGGTGTTTCTGAGCTTAGACATAATGTTTTCATAGTCCCTATTTGAATAAGTCTCTTTCATTATCTAACTTCTTTTTTATCTTTTTAGTAAACAGATTTTGCTATTGAGTTTCAGTGCCTTATTCATGAAGCCACTGTGGTCTGCAGTAGAGTTGCCACTTAGCAAACACCTTAAAGGGCTAAGGCCTTGAGAACGATCTTTTAAAATTTTGAACCCGTTTTCCGTTTCCAAGAGAACTCCATTTATTTGAACTCTTCTTATGTTAGAATTTGTAATCTGTTTCTTAGAGCTGGTACAGAACCTCTCCTTTGGTGATTAAAAAGAGAGGATTAAATAAGAGAATTGATATTACAAAGAGCTTCTGGGGTCAGTGTGAGATACGAATCTTGAGGCAGAAAACCTGGTTTTTAGTCTCACGTCTCCTGTTGTCCAGCTGTTCCCGGTTTCTTCATCTCAGCATAACCCTGAATAAGCAGTTCTGTTGTGAGAATGATAGATATTATGATATAGAAATACGCTTTTAAAATTGTCACATGCTCTACAAATGTTGCTACATAAAACTGTTCTCAGACATCCTTATTCATTTCAGAAGTGCCCATTTCTGAGGAAACATACTAATTATAAATCATTGTATGCACATTTAATACAAGAATATTTGTTGCTGCCAGTCATTGTGATGTGCCTATAGTACCCATAATGTTGAAGTTCGCAGTAAATGTTTTATTTAAACTTGAAAGAAGTCCAACTCTGTTTTTTGAAGATATTCTGTAATTGAGGTTTTCCAATCACTAGACTTAGCTTATTCTGAACTTTGCCACATTAGTGAATATCCAGTTACACTTGTCTGTTAAAAGAGGAAAATATTAGCATCATTCATGTCACCGTGCTGGGTCACCAAACACTTCTTGCTACACACACAAAGGTCGTGGTGTTTAAGGCACCAGAATCCAGCTTCAAGTGGTTTGACTTGTTTTGGGAAGTTTGATTCTTAGATAAATATAAAACCACCAGTATTATGTCTTCAGGGGTTTTATTTTTAAATCATTTCTGTTTAACTTTTTATTTTATGACTTTAAAGAATTAAAATGGCAAAATCAGACCAAAGTTATTTATAAAAGAAAAGAGAACTTCCTGGGAACTTGTCTGGTTTCTGATTCACCCAGCCAGCATGGTGTCTCATGCAGTCCTTTAGACAAATGCCGTAGCCAGAGAAAGGCACCGGTGTGCCCGAGGTCTGTGATCAAATACCAGTTAGAATCACTAGCTGACCTCATCTCAGCCAGATCCCCTGCACTCAAGAATGGTCCTTAGATGCCTTTCAGGGCAGCAGTCATTTGTATCCGTGGACACTGGGAAATAATACACTGCATGAACTCTGGAGAAATGCCTTTACCTCTCTGTACTTTGGTTTTTCCTTATCTTTTATCCTACCAAGTGGACTAGATGATTATCTGTGTTTCATCCAGCCTCAAGATAATACAAGTTGCTATTGAGTAACAAACCTAAATCCTCAAATTCTAAATTTTCAGTTTTCCCTGGGCCCAACCTTGGGATGTGACCAGAAGCCCCATTTTCTTTGTAGGTTTTTGCTTTTTAATAAAAAGACAAAACCCCAAAACCTGTATAGCTTCATCGAGAGGTTCC